TGAAGTTGATGTAGAGTGGAGATTTCCATTCAATTGATTGTTTCACAGTGATCTGTAGTGCTGCAGTTTGGTCGCTACACAGTTGATCCTTAAGGAATCCAACCTGTTGATTTGGAAGTTATTCGTCTACGATGTCCTTCATTCTATTTAACAATACCCTGTTGAAGACATTGCCTAGTATTGACAGAAGACTAATGCCCTTGTAGTTCTCACACTTTCTGTGATCGCCTTTCTTTGGTATCTTGATGAGGTATCTTTCTTCACAGTCTGCTGGTTCTTGTTGTTCATCTCAAATCTCGCTGAAGAGAAGGTGGAATATTTTTGCGGTCTCTGTTACGTCTGCTTTCACTGCCTCTGGGAGAATGTTGTCTGGTCTTGCTGCCTTGCCGCTCTTGATTTGTCTGGTGGCCATGCTGATCTGTTCAATGGTTGATTGTGAGGTTCGTGGATGCTGCCTCGATTTTGGATGGGTTCGGTCGAGCTGGTCGATTCAAGGGATTCTAAAAGTGCCCTACCCACCTGTCTCGCTATAGCTCAATTTCGGTGGTTGCCTTGCCTCCCTTATTTTTCACTGGTCGTTCTGCTTTACTATAATTTACAGCGAGTTTCTTTGTTGTATCTTTCAATTGTTTCAGGTTTCCTTTTCTTGTACCTTTACTGCTGTCATTGCTAGATCTTCCACATATTAACGTTTATCGGCTGTGATTGCTTGCTTCTGTGCATTCAGCTTTCTCCCCTCTTGTTCGTGTGATGCTGATTGCTGCCTCATGGTTTCTTGATTTATTTCAAGGGTATCAACAGAAATCGGTTTCTAGTGATGGTAGTTCTTGTGACCCAGAACCTCCTGAGATGCTGAAGTGATTGCCTTCTTGTTAACTTTCTAATTGTACTTCCTTTGATTGAGTAGATCGAGAAAGGCCTGGAACCTATTGCTGAGGGCTACCATGAATTAATTTCGTTTTACACTATCCCTAAGAAACGCCATGTCAAACCCTTTTTACGTTGTTCATCTTGAGTTTCAGCTTCATCTTGGCTACCAGCAAGTGGCTATCTGAGGGTACTTCATCTCCTCTCTCGGTTCTCACGTCCCCGATCGTCCTTCGAACATTTTATTGATACAGATATAGTCGATCTGGTTCTGTGTGATGTAATTTGGTCAAATCCATGTAGCTTTGTGTATGCATTTGTATGGGAATATTGTGCCACCTATGACCAGTTTGTTAAAGGCAGATAGATTTGCAAATTTCCCATCATTTATGTTCCTTCCTCCCAGTCTATATCGTCCCATGATGTCATCATATCCAATGTTGTCCTTGCCAACCTTGGCATTTAGGTCTCCCGTCAGAATGGTCAAATCCTTTGATGAAGATCTGTTGGGGACTGACTGCAGCCTCTCGTAGAACTGATCTATAACATCGTCATTATAGCCATTGGTAGGTGCATAACATTGGATGACATTCATTCTAATGCTCTCCTTCTTTGTTCTGAAGGATGATTTGATGATCCTGGATCCATGAGATACGCATCCTGTCAGTGCATTTTGTGCTCGTGTGGATAGCATCAGTGCAAGTCCTTGTGCAAGAAGTATTTTCTTCTTCACTGTCAGAGTATTAGAGAAGCTATTCTGAAGATAGTTTTAGTTGTTCAGCATAAGCGCAATTCGTTTCACCAATTCCAAGCACCTGAGGGTTGCATGTTTTCACTCCTGCATCAACATCGATGACTCTTTCGGTCTCACACATTGTACGGATATTCCATGTACCCATAAGAATAGTTGCTCGAGTTTCTAAAATGGTGTAGAACTTGTGACCTCTGAAGAGACTGAGCTTGGTTTATCGGACGAAATAACTGCTCTAAATGAAGACCTTCTTACTCCCAAAGCACAGTTTGAATGGTGTGAACTGTTTTTTCTGGTTGGCATTTTTTAGCGAGTTAGTTTTCTACGATGTTGGGCCTCTAACCTTGAGCCCGACCCTCTTTTATCAGGGTTTGGGACCGCCAGTAACTTCAGAGGGGTCTCGGTGGGATTACAGACTTTAATGGCATCATGCGAAACGGCCGTTACATAAACTTCAATACTATTTCCAAATATTATTTCATATCTTGGTAAAGGGTTTCAATTCAAGAAGTTATACCCATTATTTCACTTGTGTTTTATGAATGCCTTATCTCAATACGATCAAAATTTGTCACGTCAAAGCTTGCTATCCATTTATCAATAGCTGCTCTCGCCTTCACATTATTCCCTGTTTACTCCGCAAGCTTCAGTAAATGTAGATTCCTTCCCCTCTATTTATACTTCAACTTTTTACTTGACCGACAATGACAATTTACTTAGTTCCCATGTAATATATATAACACTGATTATCCCTGTTTCTTTTTTGTCAACATCGGGTTGCTGTGATTCGAGGGTTTCACCAATATTTCTTAGTGGGATTTGTATATCGACCAAACCATGTAGGTACTGAATTCGATAAATTGTTTATCTTCGTTTGAGTTGAACTTGTCCTTAATACTACAACTGCATACCAAGCTGGTGCAGATAGTACCAATTTGAAGATGGGTCCGACGGATCCAAACTCAAATGAGGAGGAATACTGTACTTAACCAAATATTTAAAATTTCAATTTGTCAGTCATATAGTTGAAACGAGTAGATTGTTTCCATCAGTCGTTACACCATCCGACTTCAAAAATGGCAGCAGAGACCCGAAGTGGACTCTTTAACTGAAAGGCATAGAAGCTATCTGAAAATTTAATCATATGTTTATCATTGGAGTCATAGTTCCCAACAAATAATACAGATGTTGTGCTCTTCGATGTATACCATTGCTCAACATACCGCTTTGGCTATGAAGCATCAAATAACAGACATATCAATGAACCCCCTAATGAGGATCGATATATTTTTGGGAAATATAACGAATTAGGACTATATAATGCCAGTGGCCAAGTTAAATCCCTCTACAGGCAGAAATCAGGAGGCCAGTCGTGATTAGATCCAGAATATATTTGTTGACGATCTCGTAGTATCGAAATAATGCCATGATTGTGTCAATTTTTGCAGACGAGACTAACGAGAAAACGTAAGCATGCTGAAGACGAGTGTTCTTGGTCCAGTTAAACAAAGAGGTACAATAAAACGAACACTGGCACCAATGGTTAAAACGATAAGTGTTTCCATCACACCAATAGCGATCTCTACATAAAAGTATTCCACTACTGAAAAGGCTGCGGAGAAGGAGGCTTAGAATCCACAAGCATAGCGACCTGTAGGTGCTTCTCAGTATATTTAATTTAAGTGACAGAAATGAATCATCTATATGCAAGCATATTTTTTCCATAGAGAATAAAGTTTAGGCACCTAAAACCCCAAACTTTTCATTATTTAGGCTGTTCAAATCCATTGTTTATTCAACTCTGTCAATGCAACCACAACTTTAATAACTAACGGTATGGTTTCAGACGACCCTGATACCGTTTGCGAATAGTACAATGACTGTTTCTCTCGTTGCATCACTACATAAAACCAAGTGCCTAACAATAAATTGTCGATGCTGTCATATAATCGTCTATCCACAAAAATCAAGCAGGCTGTTACCACCTCGAGGAAGTTCTGTGACAGTGTACCTGATGGTATTCCTTCATCTTTCATGAAATATGGTGGTATGGGATTTTCACCATTTTGTCTGATTATGTACTGTGGGATCAAGCCACTTATTATCCTAAGATTAAAAACAGGGTCACTAAGGCCCACCAACATGACCTCATTGATATAATAGCTTATTCATAAACAACTTCCGTCATATTTGCTTCCGGAAAATCTGAGATTTTTCAGTCATCACTCAAAGGTTTTTACATGGCTTAAGAATAACACACAGGAACGAAAACTGTAAGCTGAAAAATCTGTGCAACAAATAAAGGGTGAATAGGTGACTGTTAATTTCAAAGATATTATGAAAAATACTGATGGAAAGGCTTTTTGATAAAAGACGATAAGTTTGGTATTATATCGGCTGAAATTAGTTAAATCAAAAGGAAAGCAATGATCTTAAAGCATATAGAACAGCTCGAACCCTTCATTTTTTCTGAATCACGCCTTTTAAATGGTGGAATTGTAAAAGCCGAGTGGCTATACGACACCCAACTAACTGAAGTAACAGAATAATGTAAGTGTTATTTCTACACAAGTGGCATAAAATACTTGATTGGAGGGGTTTGCCGACCTCCTTCAGGTACTAAGACTCAGAAGGACAAACTGACTGAGGCAATACTGCAACTGCCACTCCTTGGGTTTGATCAAATACCACATTAGCGCAGAGATATGATCGTCAATTCGAATCCCATTGTAGTAAAGGTGGTGAAAGTATTAGAAGTGATCGGAGAGATTAGGGTTCGAAGATGTTATTAAAGAAGTATAATTCAGTGGGGTTAATTTAGAAAGAGAAAGATAGAGGTGATGATTAATTCAGGTTAGAATTCTTTAGAACACAAAGAGTTAATGCACCTACGCCGTTGCATACAGTTTTGAGCCATGTAACTTAATCTGTCTCGCCTATTATCTCCATTTTCTCTCCCTTGTTTACACTTCAGTCCTGTCTCACAATCTTCGCTACAAGTTAATAAACTAAATTATCTATTTATTTACTCAGTCCTGAAATCTTACTCATACTAGTATTAGAATTTTCTCCTTATTATTCTCCATATCGCAAATAACTGATCTCCGGTCTGGTAATGTGATAGCTTCTGGTATCCAGAAACCCTAATTCCCTTCAAAAAAGGTATTCATTCAAAGCACGAAACATACAGACTCACAACCAACTGCCAACTGACTAGAATTAGACAGTTGAGTGGCTAGACTCTCATTCATTGGACACTATCAAACAGATGGAATCGTCCTCAAAGAAGAAGAAAAGAGCGCAAAGAAATCATTTGGTTTATGCTAACTCGTGAGAAAGATATTGGATATATTGGATATTGGGACATGCCAACTTGTTTGGCACTCGAACAACCGGTTGGTTGAAATTATTACGTTACACATCTGGGTTTAATAGTTTCAGCTTGTACTTACTAAACGTATGTTTATCCCCTGTGTTTATCATAGAATTATCTTAGTTTTCTTTTTGGAATATTTACTACTCTCATCCGACATTATATAGTATATGTAATTGGCTTAGCGTCGCGCTCACAGTTTCTGGTCTGTATATTAAACTGGGAATGGGAATTTTTCTTGTCATCTGTCCCAAATCGTTTGCAAATAAGATCCATTCGGAGGTTCTTGCGGATAGACCAGTTTATTTATTGTAATTAACTCGACCGTCTCAAGGAACTGAAGGTGCGTTTAGCACGTGCTATCATAGCGGAAAAATTTGGCTTGCTGACCAAATCACTTAATGCATATTAAGACTACTATTAACCTCATTTAAATCAGTTCGACAACAAAGTGTTGTCTTTTTCACGAGGTTTATTTCGCATCTGTACTGTACAAAAGTACCTGAAACTATCAAGGGTTAAAATAGATACTTCATTCTAGTAAGACATATATTGACCTCAAAACGCACTTTGCAGAGTGAAATCGTTCACAGAGGGCCTTTTACATATTTTATTGGCTACTTTTTTCCTTTTCTCCATGTAGACAATGTCAAATAAATTACTTTTTGGCAAGTCTCTTACCTCTTATGATGATGAAGATATTGATGAATTGTTATCCAAGCTTACGCCAGAGGAGCTGGAGCAACTTAATGACGACTTTGATCCAGACAATTCATTGCTTCCTCCTTCACAGAGATGTCGTGACCAAACTACAAAAACCCCTACGGGACCTTACGATCGTGAAAAATTACTAAAGTAATAGTTTATTTTTTTTGTTCCTTTATAGTTCCTTCCGGTTACAATAAGTGGACCTTTGTACTAATATACATCCATCCATCCAGTTCGATATTCACTTAGTGTTTAACGGCAACTCAGGTCCATGTTCGCAGTTCCATATCCGTTAGAGAAGTAGTAATTCTGGGACATCGTTTAGTGTGGATTTCGTTTGTGTTGTTTTATATTTAATTCTTATATACTAAGTATTTCGCCACAATGAGGAAGAATAAGTTTGCAGCTGCTTGATCGATTGTTTAATCCTTCTAGTCATCATCCATTTCAAATACTTTCATTGATACAACTAGTTAGTAGTTTCAGTTTCGCGCTTCGACTTCAAATGCTCTTAAAGTAACGAGAAAAATAAGTCAGGTACAATGTTTTTCATATTTATATGTCTTTTAAAACAAAAGAGTTAGGGAAGTTTCATTAAACTATCAATTTGTAAGGTAATTCGTATTCTTCAGACCAATTCTAGACATAGTAAATATGATTTCCGATCAAAATTTTTGTTTCTCACAAGCGAAAAGGCTTTTGTCTAAGATTTCAAGTCTTCAAAAATTTTTATTTTCCGAAATATAGATATCTTATTGAGAAGGCGAAAGCTGAAAAAGATTGGGAAGAAGCTGTTCCCTATGAGAAAAAGAAAAGGGGAAAAGTTTATACACCGAAAGAAACTGTATCATCGAACACGCAAAACGAATTGGCCGAGATGGGTTTCGATGTAGAGTTTGATGATGACGTAAATAAGGTAGGTATATATATGCTGGTTACTTCGTGTTTTTGATTTTAACCACTATGTTAACAATAATTTGAAAAGTCCATTAAAATGGATATAATTATTTAAAAAATGAACCATAAATAGTTTTTCAGGAAAAAAGTTGAAGTGCTCAAGGTTGTGTGTGTGAGAATCTACACGAAGACCTAAAGAAAATGCTTATAATAGTGATGATAAGTGGGCAAATTCTATCACTTTTATCCTTCCGACGTTTCCGATTTGGTTTTTTGTCAGTCGGTCAGTCAGTCAGTTACAACGTACATAAGTTCATGTTATCATATCACATTATGATGTCAATTTATATTTTATAAAGTCATATCTGAGAACTAAAAAAAACAATATGATGATTTGATGAGCTGATAATATTCCATGTTCAAGTATTAGGCATTTCTTTGGATAAGAGTTTCAGGTAGTTTATTTACATAGCTTTGCTCATTCATATACATATGTTTCAGTTGTTAGGATTGTTGCTTTAAACACGGAATATCTCAGCATATAATTAATTTGCCTTCGTATTTCGTACAGATTAGTCGAACATATTACTTAATTATGCCTTGAATGTGATTAGAGTAGTAATATCTTCAACTGTCAGCCAGTCAGATGCAACGTAGAACTTCGTACGTAAGTACATCAGTTCATGTCGCCATACCACATCAGCACAGAGATGTAATCGTCAATTCAAATTCAATAGTAGAAGAGATAGTAAAGGTATTAGAAGTAATCGGAGAGGTTAGGATTAGAAGATATTATTCAAGAAGTATGATTTAATGAGAAAAGTTTAGAAAGTCAAAACTAGAGGTGTTGAAGAACCCAGAAGATTAGGATTTGAGAGAACACAAAGAATAAATGCACCGGCGCCATTGCGAACGATTTTGAGCCATGTCATTCAAGGTCTCTAACCATCGATTATTATCATCTTGCGGACCCCAACCAGGTAGTCGACAATTACCGACATGGCTAAGTCCACTCGTCAATGACTTCATGGATCTCTGCCATGTTTTGGTCTGGCCGCCCCTAACTTTCTTCCAACCTATTCCTACACTACTGTGGCAGTAGGACAATTCAAATACTCTAAAAATAATTAGGTACAAATATCTCTCACTATTGATGAGTAGAGTATAGACGTGAAATTTGTTTCAGAATTTTACTGGTTACCCCACAGAGAATCTAATATCGCATTTCCCAAAACATGAAGTCATTTCTTTTACTCTTTATTCAGATTTCAGAGGTTCGTTTTTCCGTTTTAGAAAAATTATTAGTTTCTTGACAGGGGAAACAAGAATTATTTAATGGGTAATTGAAATTTTCACAATCGGTCATGTTTAGCTTAACATTATTTTAAATTATCTACTTTAATTATTACATCCTTGATTCTATGATGGTTGATCATGATGATTCCTTTTTGTTTACATATAAAATGAATGATTCGTATACATTTTTCCCGTAAAAATAAATTGATTTTAACTTCTATTCTTTGTTACTATCTTGATCAAACAATTTTAATTGTATAATGTCAAGAAGTAAATATGGTATATTTTTTTGTTGTTGTTGTTGTTAAGGCTCTTGAAAATGCTACTGAAGATGAACTAGTCGATTTGGCTGCTGTTCTAGGTTTTACTGGAATGTTAAATCAAGTACAATTTCATGCTAGTTTAGAAGGACGTAAATTGGAAATGGGTGGATTTTCTGGTGTAGCTAAAGCTGAACGCCCTAAAATTATACCAGATGAACCACCGAATACAACAGATGTAGAGGTTTGTCTTGTGGTTGTTTTTTTTACTGTATTCAGTTAATATTTTTAACAGTTGAAAAACAATCGTAAGTTTCACTAGTTGTCATCACTTTTCATTCTCCTAGTGCTGTTGCTTTGTAATTTAACTCCTCTAAGTGAATTCTTTACTGTTGTATCATGTTGGTTCGGCAATTAATGATTGACATTTTCTAATTCCGGATTGTTACTTGTAAATGCAGTACTCAAGATGTTTAGCACTGTTAAAAACTTCACTACTATGTTGTATAAATGGGTGTGTCTACTTGTCTACTTGTGCATACAAACCTCGTACATTAAAGTTGTTAATTCAAAAAATAAGTGAATAGATTACTTTTCAGTTCAATTTCTTTGTGATGTTGTTACCTTACTGACTAAACTTAGACTAACTGGCCTGTAAAACTGTAGCACACTGTCATGTTTATTCCAGTATTATTCATAGTTATTGTACTAATTTCAGAATTTTATCCAATACAACTTCCATACTACTGTCATAAAGTCGCTGACTGTTAGGCGAAATCATATTAGTAAGTTTAGACTACGTGGTTTGGGGTATGCACGATCATCACGATCAAAATGGTTGGAGATGTTGACTAACAGCTGAGAATCAATCCAATTTATCAAGATATGTTCAACCTTCATCTATTCTTAGATCCTAAGCTTTGTATGTATTAAGAAACTTCGTTCTTTCACTTCCTATAAGCGAGACCATACCCAGCCACTTAAGCAAAAAAAGTCAAGAATAGCAAAGATGTGTTATTTAACTAAAACTGAATCGAGAATACACACAAACATTCATGAATATATACACCTTTCTCGTTTGGAAAATTAAATCGCATCTTTAACCATGTAGTGAATTAGGGCGCGCTACACATACATGGAATTCTATGTTGTGTATAACTAACTAACTATATTACTGTCCCAAAAGAATCATATCAAGTCAACATGAAATCCACTTACTCAATGATTAATAATCAAGAGTTCATTTATTTGTCGAATTTGTTTCTGATATGTATATTTTTATTACTTACGCATTTTATCTGTCAGGTATCAGGACATTTGCGATGAAGGTTATTTCTCATTTAAACCTGTCCGATTAGATAACTGATAATGTGGCATTGTTCATGTCTGTGACTAAGGTTCTACTCACATTTAAAAATAAACTATTCATTTTTAACAGAGGAAACTATTTCATCCTTCCATAATGTTACATATCTTGGTATCTGTATATGACATAGTTTTATTCGATGAAGATGCTGACAAAATGCAGAGTCTTCTGACTGCTCTGAGTAACTATGCAAGCAAGTTCGGGATGCGGTTCTCACCCTCGAAATGCAAAATGTTGCTTCTAGATTGTGTTTCATCGGTACCTGGACTAGTGTTAGGGAGTGAAGTAGTCGAACGTGTAGACTGCTTCACGTATCTGGGGAGTCTCATCAGTGCCGATGGCCTGGTGACTGACGAAATCTCAACACGGATACAGAAGGCTCGAATGGCTTTTGCCAACCTGCGTGACTTATGGCCAAGGCGAGATATCCGTTTGCTGACTAAAGGACGAGTGTACTGCGCAGTAATTCGCTCCGTCTTACTTTATGGCTGTGAAACATGGTCAGTGAGAGTAGAAGATATTCGTAGGTTATTGGTTTTCGATCATAGGTATTTCCGAAGCACTGCTCGTGTATCGTGGGACAACCGAGTAGGCAGTGCTGTTGTTAGGAAACGGGTCCTAAGTAAGAATGGAAGGTCAACAGATGAAGTGCTGAAACTTCATCAGTTGGGGTGGTTAGGACATGTGTTACGTATGCCTGACCACCGACTGCCTCGTCGAGCTATATTTTGCGATGTAGGAATAGCTTGGACGAAAGCTGGGCGCGGTCAAACCAAAACATGGCAGGAATCCATGAAATCACTGACAAGTAAACTGAGTCATGTCGGTAGATGCAGACCACCTGGTTAGAGTCCGTGAGATGATAATAATCGATAGTTAGAGACCGTGAATGACATGGCTCAAAACCGTTTGCGATGGCACAGGTGCATCCAATCTTTGTGTTCTCGGAAAGTCTAACCTTTTTAATTCCTCATTATCTCTATCTTTCTCTTTCTAAAGTTATCTCACTGAATTATACTTCTTGAATAACATCTTCGAATCCTAATCTCTCCGACTACTTCTTATACTTTCACTACCTCTTCTACTATTGGATTTGAATTGACCATTGCGTCTCTGTGCTAATGTGGTATGGCAACTTGATGAACTACTGTACTTACATGCAAAGTTCTACATTGTTGTTGATGCTGATGATGATAAGGATGGTACCTGTATAACTACTCATTACTATCATTGATTAATTTTTTGCATTAACTAACCACTTATACATTTTAAAACTGACTATTTTATTCCTTTCCTTTCTCTGTTTTTTTTACTTTAGGATTGTATAAAACAACTGGAAAATAACAATGAACAATTGACTAAATTAAATTTAAATAATATTAAAACAATGAGTGCTGAAGTAGTACAACGTTTATGTGCGGCTCTAACGAAAAATACTAAATTAATTGAATTGCATATGGCAGCAACACGTTTAACCAATGCAATGGCTGAACCATTCTTTGATATGTTACAAAAAAATACAACATTAAAAGTATTAAATTTAGAATCGAATTTTTTAACTGGTTAGTTCATCAAACATGAAATTTTTTTTTTGGATTTGATTTTGACCAATTTTATCTGGTGTGTGTTTTGTTATGAGGTATGAGGGCGGTTGTCACTTCCCGGCTGCCCACACCGTGAAAGGTTGTTTCTTGAGGAACCTGGAAAGGAAGATAGATTAGTGTTTGTCTTAGAGACCTGTGTGCGTCACCGCAGAGCCCAAGGGAAAACTGCTTGAGGCCGGTCACTCACGGCCTTTTTATGAAGGGTTTTTCGAGGATTAGCTCCGCTCTTAAAGGCCTTTAGTGGGCACCCTTACCACCGGAGACGGAAATCCGTGAGGTAGGGTGAGGTGTGACATTTCTAGGGTCGATCTTTTCTAACCCCTTCCTTCCTTGTGAGAAGGCAGCATCGCTGCAGATGCTGGTTGTCCGAGGGAAACACCTTACTGCTGTCACACCCCTCCATCACAGTCAGCAGTACGACTTCGCCCTCAGACCTTGAATAGCTCTCTTTTTTGGTCTCATCGTTCTTCAGTCGACCTGCCTGGTATGGTAGCACCTACAGGAATATATGTTCCAGCCAGTATAGCTCGGTTGGGTCGTCACGATAGGCAAGCCCGACCACCACGTCAAGGTAGCAGCTTCGGTCGGGAAACATTTTATTATTTCAAACATGAAATAATAATAATGTACTCGGTATTTTCTGATTTTTTTTCCAATCAGATTTATACGGAGATTAATGTTTTTTTTGCACATTTGAAATCATCAATCAATCAGTCATTGTTAGAAAACCACCAATATTAGAAACCTGGAAGCACTGTTTTAAGGGCCATTTTGTCCTGGTATGGGACTCATCAGTGTCAGTGCACACCCAAAACACCTGCACCTCGCAGCATTCGAACCTGGGACCTTGGGTCTTGCGTGCAAACGCCTCTAACCTCTGGACGGTGTTAATATCTAACTCTGATCAATACTATTTTCTGTTTATTGTAAATAATTATTTGAAGATTAAATTAACGAGTAAAAGTGTTAACATGCCCTCTGTGCATAAAAATAAATTGAATCATTTAGTAGGTGTGTAAACACATTGTTATAGTAGTATCATATGCCAAGAATTATAGCGATCTGATAAGATTCATGTGAAAATGTCACGATTAAATATCAGATTCCAGACTTTTGACAATTGATTGGAACTAGTATGTCTACATATTGAATATGATTGTGTTCTTTGAACTAAAATGGTTGTGCTTTTGTGACCAACACCGTTCAAAGATTTTAGTTATTTTGTTTTTCCCCAAGTCTAAATGAACTTGACATTTTTATTTTGATATATTTTTTTTGTAAAAATTTACTTTTTTTTTTAATGTATTTATTTGTAAAAACATTTACAACATGTGATCTTATTGTAAATGTTTTCGTATAATACGTATGTATGTGCAACTAACTAACTATATGCATACACATACAGAGGCATGCTGTTTTGGCTTATCACACGATCCTTGTTAACACAATAAATATCAATCGATAGCAGATAAATTTAAACCAGTATTTTTGACTTTTGTGATTGAGGAATAGTTTTTTTATTTTCTTAGTCACAAGTTCGTTAGTTTCTGTTTTTTTCTCTTCAAACTACAACTCCACATCTATGAATGTGTTTTCAGTAAATCAACAATGTACATTGGCCGAAATAGCCGTGCTCTAATCCACGTCCAGGTCTGAAACCAGCCTGGTTTTCTCTAGTCTGCTCTTCACGAGCACTAGTTAGGCGTCTAAGTATAATCGAGGATAACAATTTAGATACTATATTAGTTAGACTTATTCCCCTGTGATTGTTGTCACAAGAAAACTTGTGTCCTTTCTTATAAATTGGGACAATAAGGGATTGAGACCAATCGGATGGGATTGTGTCCAGTTCCCAGATCCTACCTAAGATCTCGGTCAATCTAGCTGCTAAAACTGGACCACCATCCTTAAATATCTCAGGGGTCAGTCTATCAACACCTGCAGCTCGCCCTCGCTTCAGATTTCCTAACGCTTTCTCAACTTCGTGAAGCCTAGGAGGACTTAAGTCGATTTGTCATTCAGGATGGCTGTAGATCGTAGGTAACCGAAGAGTGGCTCGAGGACAGTTGAACTGATCCCTAAAGTGTTCTGCCCATCGATCCAGTCTCCTGGATTGAGAATAAATAATAGTCCCATCATTTTCCGAGATAGTATCACTTACACTAGGATTCCTAATACCAGTTTCCTTGATAAGTCGGAAAAGTTGTCTAGTGTTGCCTATCGCCGCTGCCTTTTCCATCACTTTTGCTTTCGCCACCCACCACTGTTCACGGTCGTAGGTGACTTCGTTCTTCATCATGTTCAGAGCCAGGTGGGATGAGTTTTCGGGCATCCATCAGATCGGTGGATGCTACAGAGATCCATGGCTTCATTCTAGCCTTATGGTTAACCTTACTAGCAGATATCACTGCTGTTTCCACAGCCTTCTTGATATCATTCCAACCTGACTCCGGATGGGAATCGCCTAAATGGTCGCCTAACTGTTTTTCTAGCTGTTCCTGAAATATATTCTTCGCCCTATTATCATTAAGTAAAACCCTAAGAGTCTTTCTTACGGTGTCTTTCCTACGCCCAGTAAGCCTCAAATAAATACGAGCTCGCACTAGGGCATGATCTGAATCTAAACATGTGCCCCAGAAAGAGCGACAGTCCTCTATCGAACCTCTCCATCGGTGGCTAATGGCGATGTGACCTAGTTGGGTTCAACTAGATCACATCGCCATTAGCCACCGATGGCTTCTTCTTGCAACGCTAACCTCTCCGATTACTTCTAATACTTTTACCACCTCTGCTACTTTGGGATTCGAATTTACAATTATATCTGTGTGCTAATGTGGTATGGCAACTTGAACTGCTGTATTTACGTGCAAAGTTCTACGTTGATTTTGATGCTGATGAAACACATCTTACCCATGTAGGCATTAGTTGGAGATTTGTTACATAAATCTTCGCAATTTTTCCGACCACTGCGCTATTTTCACCTAGTATTCTAATACCTAACCTCAACAGAAATGTCCTAAACGATTTAGTAATGTCTCTATAGTCAATAAACAATATGTTTTCTCAGCAAGGTAACCATTTTAACTCGCGTCCTTTTGTGTAATGTATCAAAGCAACATGAACCTATATAGATCGCCTGATGTTTATAACAGAATTTTAATTTTATTCAACAAAAATAAACAATCATTGTGCTTTGTTGTTTTTCTTTTATTTTCTTCTATTTCCAGGTGTTATCCTTATTCGTCTGTTAGAATCAATTGCCCATGAAAAAAGTGGTATCACTGATTTACATTTAGCCAATCAACGTCAATCTGTACTTGGTGTTAAAACAGAACAACATTTAACTGAATTAATTTTAGCCAATCCACGTTTAATTCGTTTAGGTTTAGATTTAGATACTAGTGATGCACGTGTACGTACTAGGGAACATGTTAAAACTAATTTGGATCGTGTCTCACGGCAGTTAAGACGTAATAAAAATTAAATTCTCATGTGACAACTATATATACATATATAAGTACATTTGAAAAAAATTTACTTTACTGATTCTTACTTTGATTTCAAAAATATTTATTTATTTTTCCCGGGTATTTCGTTTGTTTTTTTAAAGAAAAAATACGTTACAGAAATAAGCTTAGTATTATTATTTAGTGAATGTACATTGTGCACATGGCTCTCTCTCTCTACTATGTGTGTGTGTGTGTGCGTATTCAGTTATTCATTGTCTTGTTTTGTGGTTCAATGTGTATTGTATTTTAGTTGGCCATAATTATTTGATTGCAATTTACACGCGCTAGCATAATCATTATCGTCATATACCTGTAATTAATAACTGACTCCTCCCTTCGTTTTTTTACAATTGTCATTTCCCCGATTATTCAGTATTGAAAAATATAAAGCACTAACCATTTCGAAGTATATTCGTACTAGTAGTAGTGGTGATTAGGAAATTTTTTAACTTTGGTTCATTTCATTCTCATGATAATATTTTGGCGCGCGCGCGCACAATTATGTGAATGTTGTGTGTGAATTGAAAGTTTTCAAGAATGTAACAACAATCATTGTTGTTGTTTAAAGACTGTAACGATAATTATCGTTGTGTTGAACATCTTCTTATCTGCTTCTCGTTTTTTTATTTCTCTCTTCTCATTTTAGTGTTGCATGCATTCTGTACTTTTAATTACAAGTAAATTAGTTATTTTAATCAAAAATTTATTATTCAATCAACCAATGTTGTTGTTGTCGGATTCATTTTTATTGAGAAATTTCTTTTTATTGGGTTAGTTGGATAACTGTTGAGAGTTATCTACTAAAAGGCTATAAACTAACTGTTATTAAGGTTAGTTAGTTTTCGTAAGCTCTTGAGGCTAGTACTACTACCATTTATTCTGGATTGTTTTAGTGTACTATGATAATACGTCAGATTTTTAGATTGTTGACAAAATACTTGTAGAGATGTTCGTAGTGCATTATCATTCTACAGTTGGCATTTCTAGAAACGCTGACTTAAGATTTAGTTGTACTTATTAATACCTGCTAATCCCTATATTCTCGGCGGTGACTAGCTCCGAGAATTTCTTACGTCAGAACTTATATCAGGGGGGGGTATCCAACAATTCTCATGCAATATACCATAGTGGTTGGAGTTAAGAGTAAGAAATGTTGAATTTTGTCTCAATGACATGAAGGTCTTATGTTCTGACCTTAAGTGGGATTTCTCGTGCACCCTAGTGAAGCGCACCAGGCTAAAACATGCAGCCGTCCAGTTTCTAAGAGTTAGCTTCATACCAAGAAGTAAACAATTTGATTCTAACCTAATGATCAGCTGGTGATGTATTTGGAGTGAGTTGTGAAGATTCCGATTCTCAAACTAGATAAAACCAAACATGATTATCATTTGAAGTTCTTAATTCTTATGAAATAGTTTTTCAGGGTTTTAAAGTTTTTTGAGTGGTCAGGCCGTAATGCGAATTTCAAATCCAAATATTCTTAGATAAATCAATTTACTTCCAGTTCAACATATGAATCACACTGTTATGCTAAAGTTATCAATGAAATATTATGTTCAAGGATATGCTAGCCTTTCCATAACTTACAAAGGCCAGCCACAAATCCTTATCAAGTATTTTGGATCTAACATACCCTACTACGTTTGTCTCATACGTGAAATCGATTTGAGTCAGTAAGTTTTCAGTCAGTCAGTTAAAACGTAGAACTTCGTACATACGTATATCAGTTCAGGTAGCCATACCACATTAGCACAGAGACGCAATTGCCGATTCAAATCCCATAGTGGTACATGTAGTAGAAGTATTAGCAGTTATTGGAAAGATTAGAGTTCGATGATATTTTGAAGAAGTAGAATCTAGTCAGATAAATTCGAGACAAGGGTAATGAGAAATGTAGACGACTAGGATTTGCGAGAACACAAAGAATCAATGCACATGCACCATTACAAACGGTCTGGAGCCATGTCATTCAATGTCTCTAACCACCGGTTACTATCGTCTCGCGGATTCCAACCAGGTAGTCGGCACGTACCAGCATGACTCAATCCACTTGTCAGTGATTTCATGGATTTGTTCCATGTTTTTGTTTGGCCTCCCCTAACTTTCTTCCAACCTACTCCTACACTACAAAACAAAGCTCGTCGAGGCAGTCGGTGGTTAGGCATACGCAGCACATGTCCCAACCACCTCAACTGATGAAGTTTCAACACTTCATCTATTGGTCTTTCATCCTTACCGAGCACCTGTTTCCTAAAAACAGCATTGCCTACTCGATTGTCCCAGGATGCACGAACAATGCTTCGGAGATAACTATGATCGAATACTAACACAACCTACGGATGTTCTCTACTCTTGGCCGCCATGTTTCGCAGCCATAAAATAGGGAGCGAACTACTGAGCAATACACTCGTCCTTCGGTTAGCAAACGGATATTTCGCCCACGTCATAAGTGACGCAAGTTGGAGAAAGCCAATCGAGCCTTCTGTATCCGTGCTAAGATTTCGTCAGTCACCAGGCCATCGGCACTGATGAGACCCCCGAAATAAAGTCAATATGTTCAACTGCTTCACTCCGTATCACTAGTTTAGGTGCCGATACAAGCCAATCTTGAAGCAACAGTTTGCACTTTGACGGGGAGAATCGCATACCGAACATGCTGGCTTTGTTGCTTAGTGTAGTCAGGAGACTCTGCATTTTATCAGTGTCTCCAACAAGTAGAACTGTCATCAGCATACTCTAAGTCAGGCAGCGTGTCACGTTGTAGGTCCACTCCTGGAAATTCAGACCAAGATAATGTAATTTCTAGGAGCGTCACTAAGTTTTACTAAACAAGTGTACTTTCAGTAAAATTGAACTTAAGCAAACCAAAAAGGGACATTCTTTAGGAAAGTAAGGAGAAAACGCGCCAAAAAGTCGCTTTGGGGGAAACAGTGCGACATTTCCCTTTTTTATTAGAAATTTTACCGAATCATCTACTCACAATCTTATGCTATTAGCCTGTGTCCTACGTTTTCTCCTATTTCCGTTACAAAAGCAAGCATCTCGGTATAGTCGAGTTGATTTGTAAAATCACACGTCTTTATAGACACTTTTTCACACTTTAATAACAGACAGATACTCGTTACACAGGTATAAAGTCCAACTGTCGTTTACGAAGCTCTGAAAAAAATAAACAGGAAACGCGTTTTGTATTCAGAATGTTATAATTTTTGACTGCGAATTAAATCAAACATATTCATTCAGATAGCATAAAATATTATTCATACTAAAGACCTAGATGTTGATACAGATTTGAAGTCTTCAATGAAAATCTTTTCCAATTCCAACAAGAAGAAGGCGGGTCTCGATGACACACTTTCATGCCATTTGAAAAAAACAAAAACAAGGTAAATTGGCCGTTTCATACGGTAAAGAGAATTTTCAGAGAACAGCAACTGATTGCGCGTACATCTACCATGAAGTGGAGTCTGGTTGCAGCCCTGTTAATTATTTGAAAATCGAAATTTTTCCTGGGAGACTCACCTGATGTCAAGTATTTATTTGATTATCAAGCATCACCTCTTCAGCTATTGAATTATTGTCACCAACTGCGCAGCCAATACCCGATGTTTCGGACGTGTATGTCGTATCAACTAATATTGTTCAGGATTTGTTAGACAGATTTAACAAGTTGGCTTACGTGAAAAAATAGTCAGCTGACGTTAAACATGTCACGATACGCAGTACCGACTCAGAGTAGCTGCAATTTCCTATTCATACATCTGAAGAGTTTGATGCTCTGGAGGCTACGCTATCTGACGATGAATTCCACGATCGTTTCATAGGTTGTAATTGTTGTTTATTACCGGTCAGGTGAATAAATTATTTGTGATACATGGAGATGATCCACATAAAACTGCTCGGTTGTTGTTGGATTGCGTAATGTCACCCAACTAGTCATCCAACATACACTACATGGAACAAAGCTAAAAATGCGGATTAGAAATTTTTGACTTGACGCAACATTTTGCAATAAGTCTTAATTATATATATGATTAACGATACAAGGTATACCGTCAAAAACGATAGACAACAATATTTTTGCAGTATTTCAATGAGTAGAAAAGTTTAAATTTTCCTACCCGTTGAGATACAACAAATGTGTAACTTTTATCAATAAGTAGGACGTTGATAATGATACCTTTAAGTTCATTTATAGTAAATACGATGAAGCTTTTCTATGTCTGCTTCTAATTCCCAAATAGCAAACCAAACGTTAGTGAAATAACAGTAAAATTTCTCATCTTCATTGAACACAGAAGTGTAACTGTAGTTTAGGTCATTTTCAGTTAAAGATATTCAACATCATTCTCTCACGTCCAGATTGTAGGTATGTTATTTTTTCGGATGCCAGTCATTAATGCTCTACTTTCTTGTTTCTCTTTGAGAATAATACGGATGTTAGTGAAGTTCGAATGAAGCTTCTGCATTACCTGTTAATATGTATCTGTTAAAAGGTCAAAGCAGTGACTCAGAACTAATTCTTAAAATAATATATATGTCATTTATAGTACGGACATCTTTTTATACTAAAAGCTGATCTCAATGAATACATAAGACATGATCGAAAATCCGATGTCAAATAGAGTGGCACTAAATAGTATGTTTCTAAAATATGACAGGACTGTAGTTTCGAATCAGCAGAGAAGTAATCGAGTCACTCGCCACCTCAGTCTTCAGTAGCAAGGATAGGAGGCCACTCGACTTACATTAATCTTCGCAATGAACAGTACTCTAAAGATCCAATCACACTTTGAGAGTATCAGAAGGTGTTGATATTATGTGTTCCCGATGAGAATTCCAGTAGTTGACTACTTAATAAGAGAAACTGAACTGTGTACGCAAACGACTTGATCTCGCTTTTTGAATATCCTGTCAGATGATCAGTCCTACATAGAAGGAAGAGATAACATATTCTGACGCCTAAATCATCATTCGGTATACGGTAAACCAGTATTAAATTACGTCGTAACGTAAAATAAGATAATTTCAAAGTCAGCAGTCTTGAGTTGTTATGAGATAGTGAGAGATTAAAACAAATAATAATAAATGTGAATAACGAACAATTATTGTAATAATCGTCCATCCGAAGGACTCAATAACAACCTGACCTCATGGAGATGAGAAATAGCGACTCAAGCGACAATGAAAGCCGACCAATTGTAATCCAATTAGAAATTGGGCGCAATTTTCAACTGGCAACGGTGTGTGGTTTTCTTTTTGTTAATCCCTATCTTTTGTGCTTATTGTTCAATGTAAGTGCATAGTTTATGCCTTATATGTCGTCAAATTTCTTCCTCTCATGCGTTTCTCTTCCAGACTTACAGTTCTCCTTATATTTCCACGATAAAACCTATCTGCAGGCTACACACCTATAGGTTTTATAACGAAGTCTGAGCATTACGTCCACAGATGGTTTACGACGAATATACCCTGTACATAACCTTTCTGTTATTAACTAGCTTTCAGTTTCGAAACACCAGATTACTACTATATAAATGCATCTGGGTCAAAAGCGTTTATTGTAATTGATAGAGTATCACAAGAACTCAAAGTTGAATGTTAGTTTTTTCTTACCTAGACTTATTTTTACAGTTGAAAAACCGGTTATTCCAGCCATAGCTCAAAAGCACACAATCTATGGAATATGGGGCGTTATACGTCTAGTTTCAGGTAAACTTCAAGTGTTTTTTTTTCATTCTCGTTCAAACCAGGGTTTTATTTGATAGTGATTAAAGAACGTGAACGAGTTGGCGAGATATTCGGAAACACTATTTTTAAAATAACCAAAAGTGGAATATTACCTTTTGCTAGGTCTTTACTTCATTTGACAGATATTCAGGTAAACGAACTTTAATTCATGTCAATTCCGAGGTGATAGAATCAAGATGAATCTGTGTATTGTCAAATGCTCAACAGTATTCTATCGTCAGAAGGTTTTTACTATTCAACTACTTATGACCTGAGTCATACATTGCAACGTTTATCAGATTCGGACCCGGAATTCAAGGCATCCAGTATTTATGAACGTGTAAGCACTTTTCATTTTTCAGTATCTAACTTTTAATCATGTGATAGTTGTGTGGTTAAGGTAAATTTTTAAACTTATTGCTGAAAAGTCCTATTGGTACTATAAGCAGTCTCTTGCAATGTTGTATTAATTTCTACGCGCTAGTTTTAGTTGGTAAATTTGTTAGATTAACAGTAATCAGAAAACCCAACTGTAACTACTTCTTTGACATGGTGGTTGGATTTGCATATTGTAACTATTGAGTCGATCTGTACTGTCAGTAATACTTTGAACCCTAACATACTATGCAAGTCATTTTGGTAACGGTAAGATTGAAAATGACAACTGAAGGTTTGAGGATGATGTTTTACTGCTATTTCAAGTTTGGCTTGTGTGGACACCTGAACTAATGATAGGGAGTAAAGTAGTTGAGCATGTTGACCGCTTCACTTATCTCGGAAGTCTCATCAGTACCGATAGCCTGGTGTTTGACAAATTCTCGTCACCGATACCGAAAGTTCGACACGCTTTTGCGAACTTGTGTCACTTGTGGCGCATCAGTTCGTTCCGTCCTACTTTATGGCTGTGAAACATGACCAGTAAGAGTAGAGGATGTCCGTAGGTTACTGGCTTTCGATCATAGGCTGATTACCATCCCTATCGGTAAGGCCTTTTAAAGTACGTGTTTAACACCTCAAAAGCTAGGCAGATAAAGGTCCTGTTTGGCAAGCCCCTAGTAGTTGTCCCTTGAACTCTGATGGCAATCACGTTTTCTTTACCATGTCTGACTCGGTGTCTTATGGCATCTTAGCCTAACGAACGGATAATGATGATCGTCTACTGCAATTGTGCTTAGACGACCGATCGTCCTCAACGGGCACCAACTTTAAGCGTAAGGAGAGACTTCGTCTGATATGGTAATTAGCAAAGTAGACCCGACAGTGGACCCAGCTATCGTTGGAAAGATTCTATAAGAGGCTTCCGCTCATTCTGAAACATGTCTAAACTCCCGACCGTAGCTACCACCTTAACATTGTTATATTGGCTGAAAAATATGTCCCTTCAGGTCCTACCATGCCAGCCAGGTTGATTGGAGAACGGTAAGACTAAAAGCAGCAACCTAAGGTCTGAGGGCGAAGTTGTACTGCTGATTGTAGAGAGGTGTGTCGACAATAAGGTGTTTCTTTCTTGTATACCTTTATCACCTTGGGCCGCCGACGCAAACGATTCAAGTACACGAAACGTTATTTCTGGTCTCCTGACACCCTCTCTAAATTACATATTGGAGCGTTTAATGTGTATCAAGTAGTACAACAGGCTTCCTTACCTAGAACTTTAAAATCTCGCGCCATTGACGTGTGCTGCATCTCCGGAGCGCGCTCTCAAGATGCAAGTACTGTAAGTGACTCGATCTCACTATATCAAAATAAAGAACCGTCACAATTTTTACCTTTGTGTATCTGGAAGCCCCACTGCTGCTACCTGTGGCCTTGCTATTTTAGGTATAGCATTGAGTTCAAAGGTAGAACTAGCTCTCTTAGACTGGATCACAATAGCTAGTCGTTTGTGCGCTATCCGACTAGACGAGGCAGTAAGGACTCGGAAAGATAGGGAAACTCGCCGGTGCCTCTTCGTCGTAATTTGCCTACGATCCCACTGACTGCGGCTCAGACTACGTAAAAGAAGAGTTTTACAGAAAGCTCTCGAACTTCCGCCAAAAAGCTAGGCTCTCTGATGTAGAAATAGTGGCAGTTGACTTCAATGCTCAAGTATGTAGACTAAGTGAAAAGGAAAAGCACCTGGGTAGATCTTATGGTGTCACGGCTAATGAAACAGATAATAGCGACCATCTACCGCCTATTTCTAGCAACTAATAACTTTAAACATAAAGTTAAACATCTTTTGACTTAGCGACCTTCAAAATCGATTCAATGCCGGACCCGACTAGACCATATTCCCATCAACCACCGATGGATAGGCTTTATACGAGGCTGTCGCCCATTCTGGAGCACATGTTTAGATTCAGATCATTCTGTAGTACGAGCACGTATTCGTCTGTGTCTAAGGAAATCTCTTAGAGTTGTACTTAACGATAAAAACGCCAAGAGTATATTTCGATATCAACTAGGAAAACGGTTAGATAGCCATGTAAATGATACCCATCCCGAGGCATCTTGAAATGATATCCACAAACCTGTGGAAACATCAGTAGTATCTTCCAGTAAATCGAAATGTTAAGAAAGAGCAAAGGATTTCAGTGGAATCTACTGAGTTGATAGACGCCTGGAAACTTATCCCTTCTGGCTCTTAACACGATGAGGAGCAGAGGCAGCTTAAATCCAAGCTGGTAAGAATCCTACGCAATTATAACGAACAGTGGTGGGTAGCGAAAGCAAGAGAGATGGAAAAGGCAGCAGCGATAGGTTACAGTGGACAGCTGTTCAGACTTATCATGGAAACTGGTATTGGAACGATGAGCAGAACAGTTTAGGGAACAGTTAAACTTCAGTGATCCACGATCTCCAGTCAACCTGAGTGTCAGGTTGATGTTAGTCCTCCAACTCTTAATGATTTTGAAAAGAATATAGGCAGTCGAAGACGATCGAAAGCAGCAGACCCTAGTAGGCTTACCTCTGAGATTTTTAAGGATAGTAGTCCGGTTTTAGCACTTAGATTGACTGAGATCTAAGCTAGAATCTGGGAACGGGTTGTAATCCCATCTGACTGATCTCAGTCACTGATTGTCCTGGTCTATAGGAAAGGACAAAAGTCCTCATGTGACAATCAGAAAGGAATCAGTTTAACTAATATGGCTCATATAATATTATTCTGAATAATACTTCGAGCCTCAACTAGAGCTAATGAAAAGCAGACTAGAGAAAACCAGGCTGGTTTTCTACCTGGACGTGAATGTATAGACCAGATACTCACACTTCATTAGGTCCTGGAACACAGACACACATTTGAGCATCCTACAATAGTTATCTTCCTCGACCTTAAGGCTGCATTTGACTATGTCGATCGTGAGCTTCTGGGACAGTATCTGTCATTAAAAGGTGTGCCAAAGAAGTATACTAACTTTATATCAGCTTTCTACTCGAACGCTACTGGTCGAGTGACGAAGTGTCATCAGAATCTATTACTTCAAGTGGTGTCCATCAGGGATGTCCACTTTCTCCATTCTCATTCAACTTCGTCATTGATATGCTTTTAGGGACAATATTTTCTTCGTCTGACTTTTCGTATGTTGACCTACCAGGAGATTCACTCATTAGCTTAGAGTTTGCTGATGACATGGTTCTATTCGGTCTTCTAACTACCTTCGGAACAACATCCTGTTGAAGATTTTTCTTGGTATTGAGAGAACAGTGATGGCGCTCTGTAGTGCTCACATTTGCTGAGATCCCCTCTCTTCAGTATTTCGATGAGTTGTCCTTCTTTCCAGTCTGTTAGTATTTCTTTTTCATCTCAAATCTTACTGAAGAGAGCGTGGATTATCTTTACACTTACTGTTATGTCTGCATGCCCAAACTCCGTCGCATGATATCTAATGATTACAGTCTTGTTCATCATTCCTGCTACTACATTATTTCTGAGATTTAAATCAATAATAGTGATCTGGTCTTTTTCATTTGTACAGACTGGTGTTTATGCGTATGGAATTTTTTGAAAAAAATTTGTTTTCTACTCATCTACAGGCAGATAAACGATTTACATGGAACAAATCACTTCTGAATGAATGGGAATCTTTACTGAATTCCACCGTGTCTTCTTTTAAACATAAACAACCAATTGATTGGAATCGATTCGATTATTGTGTACCTATTATTCAAGGTTATGTTGGCATTATAACATATCCAGAAAATTTGTCAAATATTTCTAAAGGCAGTTTAACCTATTGTCTAATCTCTCGTCGTAGTATTCATCGCACGGGGACAAGATTTAATGTACGTGGAATTGACCGCGAGGGCAATTGTGCAAATACTGTGGAAACAGAACAATTAGTTGAAATTTCAGGGCATAGATTTTCGTTTGTTCAGGTTTGTGAAATTTTGGTAATAGAAATAAAAATAATCGTTTTACTGTGTGTGTGTGTGGGTTTTTTTGTCTTTGATGTTGTTGAAGAAACAAAGCTGAATAAAGCTCGGATCGATTGTGTTCTTTTGTGTGTGTGTGTATGTAGTTGTTTCGACAAATAATCGATAGGGACATGTGTTACGTATGCCTAACCACCGACTGCCTCGACGAGCTTTGTTTTGTGGTGTAGGAGTAGGTTGGAAGAATACTGGGGGTGGTCAAACTAAAACGTGGCAGGAATCCATGAAGTCACTGACAAGTGGAACTGAGTCATGTTAGTAGATGTAGGCTACCACCTGGTTGGGGTCCGCGAGACGAAAGTCACCAATGGTTAGAGACCTTGAATGACATGGCTCAAAACCGTTTGCAATGACGCAGGTGCATTTATTCTCTGTGTTCTCTCAAATCCTAATCTTCTGGAATCGTCAGCACTTCTACTTTTGTCTTCCTAATCTTATCTCACTGAATTAATACTTCTTGAATAATATCTTCAAACCCTAGTCTTCTTCATTACCATTAATACCACCTCTACTATCTCTATCACTATGAGATTCGACTTGACATTTGAGTCTCTCTGTGTTAATGTGGTATGGCAACTTGAACTTATGTATATACGTACGAAGCTCTACATTGCAACTAACTGACTGAATAATGGATTCTCTAATATTATTCACTTTAGAGCACTCGTTTTTTTTTGTTTTAAAAAAAACAGTAGAATCAAGTGACATTGATCAGTTAGTTTATTGATTTTTAAGTAACTATAAAGTTTTATTAGTCTGCACACCAATGGAGCGTAATCTTCAAAGGTAGAAAAGTTTGTTTGAAATATACATAAATTCTAGTGTAACTGGCTACTGGGAAAAAATACAGTGCAACGTTATGAAGAAGCGGAGAAGCAGAAGAAGTGCAACCCAAAGAGCAAAAAGAAAAATCAATAGACAAGAAATGAAGTAGACAACGTATAACAGGATACTAGTTCGATTCACATCGCTATGCCTTAAACACATTTCCGAACGTCAATATTACTAACATGGTACTACTGAATTACTACTTACTTACGCCTGTGACGACCACCAATGGGAACATAGGCCACCGACCAGTATTCTCCAACCTACTCTCTCTTGGGCTTCCCTTTCTAGTTCTGTCCAATTTTTCTTCATTTCTTTGCGTAATGTAGTCCTTTACCTTCCTATATCCCTTTGAGGATTCCAGGTGAGGGGGTTTATCTTGTGACGCAATCGAGGTGCTACTAACATGATGTTGCCACTAAAAGTCAGTTAGTCCTTTGAAGATAATAATGATTAAAACACATATAATTGTTAAATGTTTTCAATTCAAAGTCGACATTTTTCACAAACAAGAAACGAAACAATTCTAGACGATACTATATTTTCACAGCCAGCCTAACATTGTGGTCTGTTCGAAGATGTACCAGATATGGCTAAACTACTCAAGTTCTTACCGTGCGCCAAATTACCCAAATATACGATTTTTTCAATTAATTCTAATAGGTCACCACCAAAATTTGGTTCAGAAGCACTGATAGTCAACTGATTAAATGTGATTTACACAGATTTGAGTATCATCACACAGTAGGTAATATAATTCACATACTACTCGAAGTTGAATAGTTCCTTTGAGTAATAGATTCATGCCATCATCATCATTACCTACTTCCATTACAACTGTTTCCATAATCTCACAAATGGTATGGCTAGAAATGAATATTGACATTAAGAAACCTTATCGATTCCAACTGCTATGCTGGAACAATGTAGAGAGGTGTTTAATATACGAAACTTTCAAGATGTCAATAAGTTGCTCACCGTAAGCCTACTTTAACAGGGTTCCAAGACATATTCAACGAATCGACAACGGTCCTAAAATTTAAAGAAAAGTTGTTGATTACAAATGTTTGTGGTGCCCATTTCACTGCAGCTTCGGTCTTGCGAGTGGACGCCTATCCTCTAGACCAGTGGGCCGGCATCTAACGGTTTTAATGTACTAACTCTGATCAATCTAAGAATTTCACACGACCTCATCCATTTGTCTTCGGCAGGTACTGCCTTCACGCGAATAAGGTTGAACTCCACTGGTCACGACGTCTTCTCACTAGAACTCCTAGAATTTCCTCACACAAAACTAGTCACTAGTGAGCACGCTGTACGATCCAATGCTGCCGTCAGGTTTCTAATAATGATGGTATAACAATCATTGATTGATTGATGACTATTTCAACGTATAAAATCACTGATCTTCATAACTCTCATTGAAAAATCTCATATATTTCTTTATGCAATTTTTTTCATGTATGCTAATTTAAAATCGAAACCAATCAATCAATCAACCGACCATAAAAATGCAGCTTCGTGGTTCTGTGCCAATCTATTGGAGTCAAAAACCTAATTTACGCTATAAACCAGCTGTTTTACTAGGCGGGGGAGGAGCGGCGGCAGCAGCAGTAGCAGCTGGTAGTAGTAATGAATTATCCTCTCCATCTAATAATCTCACTTCTAATGAAACAGACAAAAATTTAGAAACAATTCAAGCAAATATTGCACGTCAACATTTTCATCGATTAATTTATGATTATGGTTATGGACGACAAACCATAATCAATTTATTAAATCAAAAAGGTATGGAACATAATTTAGGCCATGCATATGCTATGGCCACATTACCTTTGGATGAAAAAGAAGTCAAGTAAGATTGAGTTTTTATTTTAATCTGTATATATATGTGTATTTATGTTTACAGTTTTTGTTTCAAAATGATTGTCATTTGAAATGAGGACCGTCATTAGAAACCTGGAAGCACACTAGATGAGATGATCGTCTTTTTGTTGTAGTATGAGACTCGTCAATGGCAGTGCGTGTCTACGACCTCCGCTACTTGCGGGATTCGAACCGTAGGATCTTCTGTCTTGTGTACGAATGCTTAACCTCCATACCATTAATTAAGTCGGCATCTGACAGTGTGTTAGGATATTCATCCAATTATATCCTAAGAGAATTATTGGTCGATTCCTATTGGTTAATTCCTACTGGTCAATTTTATGGTCGTCCTAGTAGATATCAATGTCACGTGCTCCAATGTTGTTTCTTAATGGTTGTCCTGACTATCAATGTCACTTCATATGTTACTTCCTATTGGTCGTATTAACTGTCAATGTCACAAACTTCGATGATGTTTCATATTCGACCAAAATGTATAAATACGCATTATCTGTAAGGTTTTATGACCAGGACCAGAATACACGTTCTACTTCATATCACGTCTTCTTATTTTTTACAAAATATGGGGGTTGGAATAATCGGGTTTGAGTAGTATGTCGTGTCGTCGGTCCTCGCTCTCACGTTTCCGACTAAAGTAAACTCGTAATAGTTCAAGTATATCAAGTTGACGTGTTTACGTGCAGGCGTAATACAGCGTTAATGTTTAACTTGAATCAATATTGTCCGAAGGCATTTATAGTCTTGTTAAGAATATTAATATGCATCATAAAAGAAACAAAAGGTTACAAAATTGTTTTTCTAATACTTGTAACGCTGATCGAAATGGTTACTTGTGATCAAATATAGTAAATACTTTGATGTTTCATAAAAATTCTTATCTCTATTGCTCTGATGTCTTATTTTTCTTAGTGAAAATTTCATCTCTTTTTTATCACCTCGTGTTTTTTTTTGATGCAAGATGCATCGTTTTTTGATAGTGAATGTGAAAGTCGATTAAAATGGGGAGAATTTAAATTTTTGAGTATTTGTTGAACTATTTAGGTGATGAAGTTTGTATTTTATTTCGGTTATCCAGAGACATTTCAATGAGACACTAGCATACTGTTAGGATATTTATCAAATAACCTAAGAGAATTATTTTTGTAAGTCGAATTCTACTGGTCAATTCCTACTGGTAAAAATTATGGTCGCCTTAACTGTCAATGTTACAGACTTCAATGCTATTTCCCATTCGACCTAACTGTATAAATACACATTATCTTTAACGTTTTATGGGCCGGACCCGAATCCCTAGTTCGGGATCCTGATTGTCTTTTGGACTCAGACCTCGTACTTTCTGGATGTTTGTAGAATACACATTCTACTTATTAATGGGGGTTGGGACACTCGGATAAGAGTAGCATGTCTTGTCGCCAGGTGCTCGCTCTCCTTTTCCAACTAAGGTAATAGTTGAAGCGTATCAAATGACGTGTTTACGTGCATACGTAACACATACTTTTCAAACTATGATACTATTAGATAGAAGAGACTTTGAATTGGCCATGTGCTTAAATCAATAAACCACACCTACAATTTACGTTTATCAAAATCTTTAAATCATTACTCGTTTTTTTTTTATTCAAGTCGACCACTTTGTGAGCCTTGTTTTTAAATAAATAAATCCGAATTTGAATCACTTAAACAATTATTAGTATTTGCTCGGAATTCCGTTTAGTATGTGTAGATAATTAAATTGACATAAATTGATTCTGATTAGAATGCGGTCAATTATGTTGACTATCCTTTTTGTCAACTATGTTATAGCTGTTCTGTACACTTTACAATTGGTATATCCATGATGTGAAGCTTTAAGTTTGAATGTTTGTAGTTGTGAAAAAAGGTGACCTTCGAGAGTGGGAAATCATTATTGGTTATAAGTTATAGAATTATGAATCAATCATTAGAAATCTGGAAGCACTGCAGGGGATGGTCGTTTGGTCGTTGTATGGGACTCGTCAATGGCAGTGCACATCCACGACCTCTGCTACTCGCGGGGCTCGAACCGTGGGATCTTCGGTCTTGTGCACTAATGCTTAACCTCTAGACCTTTGAGCCATAATTCAACAGCGTTAATATCTAACTTTAATCACTCTCTGATGTAGTGTTTATTCATAGGAATCTTCAAAGTGAGAGTAGAAGATATTCGTCGGTTATTGGTTTTCGATCATAGGTGTCTTCGAAGCATTGCTCGTATATCCTGGGACACCCGAGTGAGCAACGCTGTTATTAAAAAACGGGTGCTAGGTAAGAATGGCAGATCAATAGATGCAGTAATGAAACTTCATCAGTTGAGGTGGTTGGGACATGTGCTGCGTATGCCTAACCATCGTCTGCCTCGTCGAGCTTTGTTTTGTGGTGTAGGAATAGGTTGGAAGAAAGCTAGAAGCGGCCAAACCAAAACATGGCAGAAATCCATGAAGTCATTGACAAGTGGACTGAGTCATGTCGGCGGTAGTTGTCGACTACCTGGTTGGGGTCTACGAGATGATAATAATCGATGTCTCTAAACCCCGAATGACATGGCTGAAAACCGTTTGCAATGCCGCTGGTGCATTTATTGTTTGTGTTCTCTCAAATCCTAATCTTCTTGATTCTTCAACCCCTCTAGTTTTGACTTTCTAAACTTTTCTCACTGAATTATACTTCTTGAATAATATCTTCTAATCCTAACCTCTCCGATTACTTCTTATACCTTAACTTCCTCTTCTACTACTATTGGATTTGAATTGACAATTATATCTCTGTGCTAACGTGGTATGGCGACATGAACTGATGTACTTACGTACAAAGTTCTACGTTGCATCTGACTGACTGACTCAAAGTATATATGTGATAGTTTTTGTCTCTTGTTGAATATTTCCGATCAAAACAAGCACACACTCTATGCACCAACTCTAAATTACTTTTATCAAAAATATTTATGCTTGAGTAGCTGTTAACTGTTTCTAAACATTTTTTTATAAACTGGCCCTATTGCCAAACTTGTATCGACCTATTTTTATTAAGAATCATGCAATAGTGTGGTGCAAGCTACTTATAAGTAGTATATGACGCGAGTGTAAACGTAATGTCAAGCAGCAGAAGATGGGGGAAGATCAAGAAAGGAAGAGTTAAAACACAATGGAATTTGTATGAAACACATGAATAGTGACAATGGATTGATGTTTTGCAACAGGAACAGTCCAGTTCGAGATGATGGACTGAAAATTTGCAAATTAACGATTTACGATATGGTTTTTCCGATTTTACCGATTAACTCCGGTTGCCCCACCTGTGTTCTCCTTCACTACAATAGTAGTTGAATAATTATTTTTTTAAAAATGTATGTAAAGTCATCATCAATTAGAGCGTACTTCGTTTATTGATTGAAATTTATATATTTTGCGCTATAAATTTTTTCCCTGTTTACTCTTTATAAAAGATATGAAAGTTTTGATTTTCATCATGAATGTGGTTCAACTCGTTGGGACCGTCTGAGTATTTTGTTAGAACGTCTTATACCAGAATTATTGAGATCAAAGTGAGTTGTTTTGTTGACTTCGTTTTACTTTTAAAATTATTACTCTTTTCCCTGAAAAACTTCTCGTTTTTAAGCTGTCGACCAAAAACGAGATTCCATTTATTCACTGATCCTCAGTAGTGTGAGTAATTATTGTTAGATATCATTTTCGTAAACAGGACTTTATCGCCCTTGTACATAAATCCATTTCTAGGTTATAATTTATTAGTGGGACATTGGATTGGATTAAAGCATGATTGTGTTGCTGCACGCTGATTGGTTGTTTCATATCCAATCAGCGCTAGCCGTTACTGAGGGAACATTCTAGAATCTTCTCATGTAAGAAAACGATAAATACATTAACGTCTTTCTCCTTTAGACTTCTCTGACTTCCATCTAACCTTGTTATTGGAATATAATCTGTTTTTTTCCTGTTCAACCGTGTTTTGATTTGGGAGAATGTCTCGTGTCAAATGGTATCCGAGAATACTAAGCATTAAGTAACAGCTGGGTTGTAATAAAGAGAGAATTCTAACATAATTTACCTTCCGTTCCTGTGTATTCAGTCAGTTACAACGTAAAAGTAAGTACATCCGTTGCCATACTACAACATTAGCACAGAGACGCAGCTGTCAGTTCAAATCCCATAGTAGTAGAGATAGTAGGAGTATTAGCAGTAATGAAGAAGAATAAGGTTCGAGAAAACTATTCAAGAAATATAATTCAGTAAGATAAATTTAAAAAGAGAAAGGACGGTATGAGGATTTCAGGATAAGAATGGATGCACCTGCGCCATTACAAATGATTTTGAGCTATGTCATTCAAGGTCTCTAAACATCGGTTACAATTGTCTCGCCGACCCCAACCAGATAGCCTACATCTACCAACATGACCCAGTCAAGTTGTCAGTGATTTCATGGATTTGTGCCATGTTTTGGTTTGGCCGCCCCTAACTTTCTTCCAACCTACTCTTACACCACAAAACATTGCTCTACGATGCAGTCGGTGGTTGGGACATGTGTTACGAGAAAGATAGAGATGACGAGGAATTTAGCACCCGTTTCCTAATAACAGCATTGCTTACTCGGTTGTCCCACGGTACTGGAGCAATGCTTCAAAGACACCTATGATCGGAAACCAGTAATCTACTCTGATTGGCTATGTTTCACAGCCATAAAGTAGGACGAAGCGAACTACTGCACAGTGCACTCGACCTTTCGTTAGCAAACAGATATCTCACCTACGCCATCAGTGACGCGAATTGGCAAAAACTAATCCAGGCTTCTGGATCCGTGCTAAGATTTTGTCATTAACTAATTGGTGAGATGAATGATTGGCTATCTCTCATCTGTAATACTGTTATTTGTGCCATGTTTTGGTTTGGCCGCTCCTATCTTTCTTTCAACCTACTCCTACACCACAAAACATTGCTCTACGAGGCAGTTGGTACTTGGGTATTCGTAACACATGTCATGTCCCAACCACACCTCAACTGATGAAGTTTTACTACATCGTCTATTGATCTGCCATTCCTTAACACAGTACACTTGTCCTTTTTAGTTAGCAGATAGATATATCTCACCTAGGCCATAATGATTATTTTTTTTTATAATAACTGTTTTAGATGAGTACAATTGGTGCTTTCTAATGATATACTAATAAGACAACATTATTTATTCCTTATTTAAGGCAATTACATTTAGATATGAATAATAATCCGGCGAAAATTATCACTCGTCAAACTGGAACATTTCGTTCCAATTGTATTGATTGTTTAGATAGAACAAATGTTATCCAATCAATGCTTAGTTGGTGTGCATTAGAACAAGCAATGATTGAAATCGGTGTATTAACTGGGACAACAACAACAACAACAACAGTATCATATACAGCGAATGCTAGTACAACATCACCACTGTCTTATTTATGGCCTGGTTTTGGTTATCAATTTAAATCATTATGGGCAGATAATGCCGACTATTGTTCACTTCAATATACCGGAACACGTGCTTTGAAAACAGATTTCACTAGAACAGGTAAATATTTATTAGAATAAGTTTGACAAATGTTTTTTTTGTAAATGTTATGCTCGTCTCTTGATATACTTGAATGCTATTACGAGTTCACCTTAGTCGATAAACAAGAACGAGACAATGAACCAGTGTCACGACATGCTACTCTGATCGGTTACCCCATCGGAACTAACGAAGAAGTCTTGATATAGCGTAGAAAGTGTATTCTAGAAACACCCAGCAAACACAATGAATTCAAGCACACAAATCGCGTTTATTTATACATCATGGAAACGTTCTTGGGACGGTTATGCTGTTGGCCTTTTCGGAGATCTAGAGCGATCTCGGGATCCTGACCTTCTTCTAGGGAAAGATGAAGTTGATTTCGTGCTAATCATAGCTATCGAGGCTCGTAGTGATTCAATCTGATTTGTGAGTTGTGCTATTTGCTGTTGTTGAAGACTAATAACATTACACACATTATCTATACTGTTAGTTTGCACAGAGTTAACAACTTGGCTATCTGGATAGATTTCAGTTATTTTATCAGCCATGTCGGCTAACTCGGTCAGGTTGGCTGAATTAATAGTTACCATAAGAATCTGTCTGACATTGTGAGGTAGCCGTTGGAGCCAAAGTTGTTTGAGTAAACTCTCGTCTATTTTATAAAGGCCGGATAACTCTTTCATGTACCTGAGTAATTGGGATGGCTTTTTATCTCCCAACTCACAGGACGTTAACAACTGTTGTAGCCTTTTTTCGTCTGATGCAGAAGTTCTCTGAATCAATGCGGCTTTAATTTTATCGTACGGGTCGTTCTCAGGCACTTGGGCAATAAGATCTCCCACTTGTGCAGCTATGTCTATCGGAAGTGAGCTAACCACATATGCGTATTTCGTAGTTTGTGCGCGTATGTTTTTGGCTGTAAATAAAGCTTCAATCTGACAAAACCACATCCTAGGGTTGCTAATGCCAAACGCAGGAAGATTAAAATCTGAGATGGCATTAATGGAACTTAGGGTCTTATCTTCAGACTGTGATGTGGAGAAAGGATTAGCTGGGAGAGAGTCCATTGTAAGTGATTTAATACAAGTAAAGCCGTATGAGATAGAAACAAAATGGGTAAGCCGAAAATAATAATGATATGCTGTACAATTGTTATGACTTGTTTCATCATCATTTGATATGCTTGAATAATGTTCTATGGCGAGTTTACCTTAGTCGGTAGTAAATGAAGAGCTAAGACAAATGATCCATTGACATGGTAGGCTACTCTGATTCGTTGCCCTAAACTAACTGAAGAGAAAAGTCTTGATATAGCTTAGAAAGTGTATTCTACAAACACCAAGCAAGCACAATGAATTCAAGCACACAAATCGCATTTATTTATACATCATGGAAACGTCCTTGGGTGAGTCACAAAAATAACACAGTTCCTGGTGGGAAATGTAATCTCAAGGTCAACTGACCAGCCCATGAATAAAATCTAAAATTAAGACATCTGTTGAGCGAGTTCTGGGGATCTAACATCTCCAACAGTACAATTTTATGTATAAATAACATTGTCTTATTCAAAAGAAGCATTTTCTTTTAAAAATTTTTTTGAAGAACTATTAGTAGTGAAAGTTTGTGAAATTGTTATATTCCAATGCTAATCTAATCTTTGCTGGTTTCTTAACAGAAGTGTGATTGTTTAGTCATAAGAGGTTAAAACATTGAACTTTCCTTATAGACTGTTGTTTTTCATTGGGAGCATAAGTCAATCATTGCTAGACCACAATGAGAAACCTGAAAGCACTGGATGACCGTCTTGTCCTAGTATGAGACTAAGCAACAGTACACATATATAATGAAAGTTATAAAAATGTGTTCAGTAGTAACTAGATTTGTGAGGGAATTGTCGGAGTTCTAGTTAGAAGCTGTGTCCAATGGAGTCCAACCCTGTCGGGTGTAAGGCAGTTACTCAGCGAACATAGTAGGTGATAGTTGTACAATGCGCGTTCACGAACCTTACTCGCCGGAATCGAACCCAAGACCTCCGGTCTGGCACGCGGACGCTTAATCACTGAGCTGGCATCCAACGGTGTTAATGTCTAGCTTTGATCACTCATTGTCTTCGGTAGTTCATGCCTTTATCTGATAGGATTGAGCTCCACTGGTCACGGCATCTCATTAGAACTGCAAGAATTTCCTCACGAAGCGCTAGTCACTAGTGAACACGTTGTATGATATTCATCATAGATTTATGGAGATTGTTCGCGCGCGAGGCCGAAGGTCCTAGGTTCTCAAATCCAGCGAGTGGGGGGGGGGTTGTGGATGTGCACCACTGAAGAGTCTCATACTAGGACGAAATGGCCGTCCAGTATTTTTCCAGTTTTTTCTAACGGTGAATTGATTGAACTTTTCATTATTAGATCTACTGATTCAAATTTTTTCCTTTATACTTTTCATTACGGGGTTGTGAAGATTGTTAAGTTACACATTTTGAGACCATGAATCGATCAATGTTAGACCACCATTAGAAACCTGGAAGCACTGGGCGGCAGTTTCGTCCTGGTATGAGACTCTTCAGCAGTGCGCATCCACGACTCCTGCACCCCGCAGGATTCGAACCCTGGACCTTCGGTATTGTAGGCGAACGCCTAACCATCGGACCACTGAGCCAGTATCTGACAGTGTTAATGTCTAACTTGATCAATTCACGGAGTTGCGCAACCTCTAGTGGGAAGACGTGACCAGTGAAGTTCAACCTGTTCGGGTGTAGGCAGCGTCTACCGAAGACTGTGTATGAGGTTGCGCAACTCCGTGAATTGATCAAGTTAGACATTAACACCGTTGGATGCCGGCTCAGTGTTCCGATGGTTAGGCGTCCGCGCACAATACCGAAGTGTTCCTGTGTTCGAATCCTGCGAGTAGGTGCAGGAGTCGTGGATGCGCACTGTTGATAAGTCCCATACCAGGACTTGACGGCCGTCCAGTGCTTCCAGGTTTCTAATGGTGGTCTAACATTGATCGATTCATGGTTTCAAAAATGTTTCTACTTTTTGTTAATTCACATATTGGGGTAGCCAGTAAAGACACACACACACAAAATGAGTTGATCTTAAAAAAATTGATTAGCTTTGATCATAAAACTTTTAATGAGAGTTAATAATAATATTAGTATTAGATTAGATAAGTTATCAAAATGGTTTGAATAGAAATCAATGGAGAAAAATAAAAAAACTGTTGTTCATTCATTAAGAGTCGGTCAACAATAAACTAAGCCATATGAAATTGTATAAAAATTTGTGTGTGTGTGTGTGTGTGACTATTCTTCATTCAAGAGATTTTTTTATTTAATAAGTTCTAATCTCTAAATATACATCAATGTAAGTCAATGAATTGTGTATTGTGTTAGTGATTGATAATCACAGTATGCAAGTTTTTTTTTCTTTTGATAAACTGTAAGAGTTCTAGTATTTCAAGATGATTTCATTGATTAATGAACAGTTATAAAGATGTTCAAGTGCACACATTCCATTACATTATAATTAGTATTCATGTTATACTAATACCGTCAGTCAGTCAGTTAGACAATCAGTTACAACGTAGAACTTCGTACGTACGTACGTACGGTACATCAGTTCAGGTTGTTGTCATACAACATTAGCACACAGAGATGTAATTGTCCGTTCCAATCTCATAGTGATAGAGATAGTAGAAGTGTTAACAGTAATTGGAGAGATTAAGGTTCGAAGATAAAATCTAGTGAAATAAATTTAAAAAGAGACAGGTAGAGGTGATGAAGAATTTAAAGGATTAGAATTTCAGTGAACATGCACCTGCACCATTGCGTTAAATGTAATTAATATTCAAGATGATCTGGTTTTTCCATTATTGTACATGCAACAACAAATGCAAGAGAAGACGACCAGTGTATAGTAGCAGCCTCATCAGTAGCAGCAGCAGCAGGTCTCAACATACATAAAGGGTAAAGCAAGATTCTCCAAAACAACAACCACTGAGTGCCTCAACGAGAGATACTGTCCAGTACAGAGGTTAGTCTAAAAGGAAGCTAATAGCGGCCAAACCAAAGCATGGTAGAAATCCATGAAGTCACTGACAGGTGAACTGAGTCATGTTGGTAGATGTAGACTGTGTTTGATTGGGGTCCGCGAGTGTTACGCCTGCACGAAAACACGTCACATTGATATAATTGAACTATTGCGAGTTTACCTAGTCAGAAAACGAGAGCGAGTATCGAGGATCCGGTGACACGACATGCTACTCAAATCCGATTATCCCAAACCCCATATTTAGTAAAAATAAGAAGACGTGATACGAAGTAGAACATGTATTCTACAAGCATCCAGAAAGTACGAGGTCCGAATCCAGAAGAGAATCAGGATCCCGGACTAGGGATCCGGGACCGAGCCCTGGTCGTGGTCATAGAATGTTACAGATAATGCGTATTTATACATTTTGGTCGAATAGGAACAGCATCGAAGTCTGTGACATTGACATTTAAGACGACCAATAGGAAGTAACATTTGAAACGACATTGATAGTTCGGATGACCAATAAGAGACAACGTTGAAGTATTTGACTTTGACAGTTAAAACGACCATAATTTTGACCAATGGAAATCGACCAATAGGATTTGACCCATAATTCTCTTAGGATATTGGATGAATATCCCAACAGCGAGATGATAGTAATCGATGGTTAGAGACCTTGAATGTCGCAGGTGCATCCACTCTTTGTGTTCTATGAAATCCTAATCTTCTCCATTACCAATAATACTTCTGTGGTGCGAGCTACTTATAAGTAATAGTATATGACGTGAGTGTCAACGTAATGTCTGGCAGAAGAGAAGATGGGGGAAGATCAACAAGAAAGGAAGAGTTAGAACACAATGGAATTTGTATGAAACGCATGAATAGTGACAATGGATTGATGTTTTGCAACAGGAACAGTTCAGTTCGAGATGATGGACTGATATTTTGCAAATTAACCGTTTACGATATACGGTTTTCCTACTTTACTGAGTAACTCTGTAATTTTCGTTAAATATAATTCGGTTGCCCCACCTGTGTTCTCCTTCACTACACTTCTACTATCTCTTCCGCTATGCGATTTGAACTGACAATTGCACTTCTATGCTTATATGGCATGTCAACATGAACTGATGTACACGTACGTACGAAGTTATACGCTATAATTGACTGATTGACTGGCTTAATATCTCAAAGACTATGATCACTGTCGGTCAGTATGCATACAGTTGTTACACAATGCAAGGAGATGCAATTAAATGCGTGTACAATCTACCTGTTTACCATCACTAGTCATTTCCATGTAAATATATTACTACTATCTCACTATAATAGAGATGATAGATGAGAAACTTTAAAAAAATTTCTTTTTTTACATTGATTTTAAACAAAACCTACATAGTAATATAAACTACATGAATTTTCATTTATATTGAATATTATTGTATGATAACAAACAGTATGCATGTAGTAAGTAGTAACTGGAATTCTTTGCATACTTTTCACTTTCTATGTTAATTATTCTAAATGATAAACACTAGTCTTATGGATTATTGATAAACAAACAATCAATAGTTGTAATCATAGACTGACTAAATGTAGATTAAAAACTTCACATTCATATCTGATCAATGAATATGAGTGGTTGTCATCAGTTATCCATACATATTAGAAGAGATAAGAGAGATATTAGGAGGGGGGTGTAAGAAGGATTTGAATTTGACCAATTTGGTCTCTCGTGTGCTGTTACGGGTATGAGGGCGGTTGTCACTTCCCGGCTGCCCACATCGCGGAAGGGTGTTTTTTGAGGGACCTGAAGAGGAAGGTAGGTTAGTGTTGGTCTTAGAGACCTGGGTGCGTGGCCGCAGAGCCCAAGGAACAACTGCACGGCCCTTTGATGACAGGTGTTTTTAGTATTAGCTCCGCTCTTAAAAGCCCTTAGTGTGCACCCTTATCGACGGAGACAGGAATCCGTGAGGTAGGGTGAGGTGTGACTTCGCCCTCAGACCTTGAGTAGCTGCTTTCAGTCTCATCGTTCTCCAATCGACCTGCCTGGCATGGTAGAACCTTCAGGAACATAAGTTCCAGCCAGTATAACTCGGTTGGGTCATGACGATAGGCAAGCCCAACCACTAACCACATCAAGGTAGCAGCTACGGTTGGGAGTCATCAATACTCTAAATCTATATCTCTCTCTATAAATATGATGCGCCTATTTACTGATTTTGAATTCCTATCAGTTAAATTCTAAAAAATGAGGTGGTGATTTTTTTTGACGAAAATTAGTTTAGTCATAAGGTGTTGTTTTGGTTGTGATATTATGTAGTATGGATTGGACCCTATTCTTCTTTAACACAAAAAAGAGTAATCTAAGTCCAACAAATAGTTTGATATACTACTCGCCAATGGATATGCTTGCAGCTATTACGAGTTCACTTTACTTTGTAAACGGAACGAAGATCAATGATTAAGTGACACGATATGCTACTCTAATCCGATTATCTCAGGCCCCCACTAACTAGAAGAAGAAGTCTTGATAAGATGTAGAGAGGAATGTATTCTACAGGCAACCAGAAAGTACGAAGTCCACAAGCACACAACTTAAGCTTATTTATACAATGATAGTAATGCCCTTAGTCAGTCAGATGCAACGTCGGACTTCGTACGTAAGTATATCAGTTCATGTTGCCATACCACATTAGCGCAGAGACGCAATTGTCAATTTAAATCCCATAGTGGGAATGATAGTAGTACTACTGGTAATAGAGAGGATGAGAGTTCCAAGATATTATTTAAGAAGTATAATTCAGTGAAATAGGTTCAGAAAGACACAAGTAGAGGTATTGACGAATCCAGAAGATTAGGGTTTGAGAGAACACAAAGAGTGGATGCACCTGCGCAATTGCAAACGATTTCGCAACGCCCTTCATGAGAGCCAAAAAATAGCGTACTAAAATAATCCATCAACCAATGATAGTCAAAGATTTTCCGAGTGGAAAATGTAAGCTGAAATGTCAACTAAGCGTCTTTGGGCTCGAAAACATAAAAATTCACAAATAAATTACGAAATGCGGACCTTTTTTAAGTGAGTTCTAGGGATCTAACGTCCCCAACATAGAGTTAGTGGCTACTAATTGATTTTTAACATTTGAAATCATCAATAAATCATTGTTTGACCACCATTAGAAACCTGGAAGCACTGTTTTGAGGGCCGTTTCGTCCTGGTATGGGACTACTCATCAGCAGTGCGCATCCACGACTCCTGCACCTCGCAGGATTCGAACCCGGGACCTTCGATGTTGCGCATAGACGCCTAACCTCTGAATCACTGGGCCGGCATCTGATTGATCTACGGATTTTGTGCGACCTCACCCATTTATCTTTGGTAGTTACTGCCTACACCTTCGACAGGGTTGAACTCCATTGGTCACGTCTTCTCTCACTAGAACTCCGAGAATCTCCTCCTCATGAAGAGCTAGTCACCATTAGTGAGCAGCACTGTTATGATATTTTGGGGCAGAGTTTTGGAGGTTTCTGCGTTTTTACACACATTTTTTGAACAGTTAGTTAACTATTGTCAACATGAAATTGAAATCTTTCATATAAAACAATAATATTTATTCCAAATGCTTTTTTTGTTTATATTTACTCTGCTCGCGGAAAAAACCCAATCAATCATAGGCAAACGAACATTCTATGGTATGTTAATGGATGGTTATCATTCCCTGGTTCGTTATTATTTAAACAATTTCAATGATGGTTATCGTCAAGATTCAATGCATTTATTACTTGGTCAATATAAAATATTCGATGAGCATGGTAATCCAAAACCATTACATGGTGGATCCAAAGGCATACTGCTTCGACATTCTCGTCATCATCATACACATCAAACGGATACGGAATGGTTTACACAATATCTGCCATTAGTATTTAGTTTTACACTGGCTATGTCAGTGTTGTGTTGTATATTTCCTACAGGTAAAAAGTTGATGATTTATACTTTTTTTTTATTGTTGTTATGTAATGTTTTTATACAGGAATAAATCTATATCGCATATAACCTTATAAAGTTTAGTAATCTAGTTCACTAATCACGTTTATAGTTTAATGATTGTCAAATCAACTTTTACAAAATTTGTTTGAATAATTAGTGGTGTAGGAGTAGGTTGAAAGAACGCGTGGGGGCAACCAAACCAAAAAACATGGCATAAATCTATGAAATCACTGACAAGTGCATTGAGTCATGTTGGTAGATGTAGGCTACCACCTGGTTGGGGTCCGCCAGATGATCGTAACTGAAGGTTAGAGACCTTGAATGACGTGGCTCGACAGACAGACAGACAGATACAACGCAGATTTTAGTACATAAGTACATCAGTTAAGGTTGCCATACCACGTCAGCACAGAGACGTAACTGTCAGTGCAAATCCAAGAGTGATAGCGATAGTAGAAGTATTAGAGAGCAATGGAGAAGATTAGGGAGCGGAGATATGATTCGAAAAGTATAATTCAGTGAGATAAATTTAAGAGGAGAAAGATAGAGATTATGAGCAATTCAGAAGGTTAGAATTAAAAAGCACACAGAGAGTGGATGCACCTGTGCCATTGCAAACGATTTTGAGCCATGTCGTTCAAGTTCTCTAACCATTGGTGACTTTCGGCTCGCGGATCCCAACTAGGTAGCCTACATCTACCACGATGAAGCAGTCCACCTGTCAATGATTTCATGGATTTGTGCCATGTTTTGGTCCGGCCGCGCCTAAGTTTCACAACTTCATCTATTGATTTGTCATCCTTAGAACTCGTTTCCTAACGATAGCATTGCTTAATTGGTTGTCCCAGGATACACGAGCAATGCTTCGGATACACCGATGGTCGAAGACTAGAAACCTACGAATGTCCTCTACTCTTAACATGATATGGCTGGAAATCGTTTTCAATGCCGCAGGTGCATCCAATCGTTGTGTTTTATGAAATTCTAATCTTCAAAATTCCTCATCATCTTTATCTTTCTCTTTCTAACTTGTATCCATTACTGCTAATAGTTTTACTATGTCTGCCGCTATGGAATTATGAACTGACAATTGCGTCTCTGTGCTGATGTGGTATGGCAACCTGAACTGATGTACATATGTACGAAGTTCTGTGTTGAATCTGTCTGTCTATCTGAATGAGTAATGATTAATAGTGAAGTTGGATTTCCATGCATTGACCATGACAAATTAACAGAGGATTACAACCCACCCGCAGCCGATACTTCGACATTTTGGTGGGGGGAGGCTTGCCTATCATGATGATCCAACCGAGTTATGTTGGCTGAAATGTATACTCCTTTAGATCCTACCATTCTAGATAGGTAGATTGGTTGATGTTACACCCCACTTAACCCTACTAATTTCCGGCGGACAACTGGAAATCGACATCCGCCCTCATACTCATAACAGAACTGGAGATCAACTTGTTCACGACTGACAGAAGATTACGATAAGACTGCATAGGAAATTACTATCGAATGCCAGGTGAATTGACTGACAGATTAAAATATTGAATGGGAACAGATGAGAATTGGTCACAGTTTTATTTTTTCTCTATTGATATCATCCCTACTCCATTTTCTATGCTTAACTCCTTAATACCGTTTAACGGTAGTCCCATTGAGATTCTCTAACCGTCTTTTTTTCCTCTGTGTACATATATTAAAGAGTGTGGCAATGTAAGCCTATTTATATGATATATACTCGTCAATTGATATGCTTGAATGCTATTACGAGTTCACCTTACTCGGTAAACGGGACGAAGATCAATGACTCAGTGACACGATAGGTTATTCTAAGCCGTTGTTCCAGGCCCTCACTAACTAGAAGAAGAAGTCTTGATAAGGCGTAGAAAGTGTATTCTACAAGCACCCAGAAAATACGATGTTGTCTAAGCACACAAATCAAGCTTATTTATACAATGATAGAAACGTCCTTGGTGAGAGCCACGAAATAGCGTACTAAAATAATCCCTCAACCAATGACAGTCAAGGAGTTTCCGGGTGGGAAATGTGAGCTGAAAGGTCAACCAAGCGAGATTGGCGCGAAAACATAATAAAATTCAAAATTAGGACCCTTTCTAAATGAGTTCTTGGCATCTAACGTCTCCAACATTTACTCCAACTCTTCTAATATCATGTATGTTGGACAATTCTGCCTCGACGAGCTTTGTTTTGTAGTGTAGGAGGAGTAGGTTGGAAGAAAGTTAGGGGCGGCCAAAACCAAAACATGGCACAAATCCATGAAGTCATTGACAAGTGGACTGAGTCATGTCGGTAATTGTCGACTACCTGGTTTGGGTCCGCGAGATGATAATAATCGATGGTTAGACACCCTGAATGATATGGCTCAAAATCGTTCGTAATGGCGCCGGTGCATTTATTCTTTGTGTTCTCTCAAATCCTAATCTTTTGGATTCTTCAACCCCTCTAGTTTTGTCTTTCTAAACTTACTTCTTGAATAATAATATCTTCTAATCCTAACCTCTCCGATTACTTCTAATACCTTTACTACCTCTACTACTCTGTTGGATTTGAATTGACAATTATATCTGTGTGCTGATGTGGTGGTATGGCAACATGAATTGATGTACACGTACGTACGAAGTTCTACGTTGCATCTGACTGACTGATTGATGTTGAACAATTTCTCTACTCTGAAACAATATTATTAACTTTGTAAAAATTATATTTTGTCTAAAAAGAATTCTCTCAAATAATAAGCGCATCATTTTATTGTGTTATTTATTTATTTCACAGCTCATTGGACAGAGAAAGCAACTTATGTCCTATTCTGGGGTGGAGCATCCATTCTATCCGCTTTAGCTATATTTGCTTATGGTGAAGAATTTGTTGATCGTCCTCGATTTTGTCCAGATTAAAAATAATAAATTAGGATATTATCAAATTTATTATAACTGACTGGTGTAATAATAATAATAATAATAATAATAATAATAATAATATTTTTCTCTTTTAATTTTCTCAATGATGAAATAAATACTTTTTTTTTCCTCTCCTCTTAGTTTAATTTTATTTGATAAAACTAACTAACTAACTAACTAACTAACTAACTAATTGGGGACAAATAAAATATTATTTGTAATTTTGACAGAAAAATACATGTTCATTTTTGTGATCGACATCTTTTTTTCTGAACTAGGATGTTATTTCTTTGTTTTTTTTTATTGTACGCACGTTGTTCCTCTCTCTGTCTTGATCTTGATCAATCATTACTGGAATGGGTGTAACACATTCATTGTGTGTGTCTTTCTGGGTGTTTTTCTTCATTGCAACCAATTAACTATTTCTCGCAAATGATTTTATTTTAGCAGTAAAAATTACAATGTCTTTCTTTCGATTTGGCCAAGTTTTGTTTTGATTTTCTGTCATGTTATAGTTCGGATTAAGTTTAACTTGGGTCAAAGTCATTCGGAATCCTTATTACACTCTGATGAAATCATTACCATCTATCGTGAAATAAATCAAACTGTGTGTTTAGATTAGAATGTCATCATTTTTTAAGTCCGACAAAATTTTCATTATTTGTGAGAGTAATAGCAGTCAGTCAGTCGGCAAGTTACAACGTAGAACTTCTTACGTACGTACGTACATAGGTCCGGATTGTCATAGCACATAAGCACAGAGGCGCAACTGTCAATTCAAATCCTATATTTGTAGGGATAGTAGAAGTATTAGCTGTAATCAAGAAGATTAGGGTCCGAAGATATTGCTTAAGGAGGCATAATTCAGTGAGATAAATTTTGAAAAAGAAAGATACAGATGATGAGGAATTCTGAAGATTAGGATTTTTAGAAAAGTCGAAGAATGGATGCATCTGAACCATTGAAAAATGATTTTGAGCCATGTCATTCAAGGTCTCTAACCATCGTCTCGCGGACCCCTACATCTACTTACATGACTCAGTCCACTTGTCAGTAACTTCATGGATTTCTGCCATGTTTAAGTTTGAACACCCCCAACTATCTTCCAACCTACTCCTACTCAACAAAACATATCTCGTCGAGGAAGTCGGTGGTTAGGCATTCGTAACACCATGTCCCAACCACACTTCAACTGATGAAGAGTTTCACTACTTCATCTATTGACCTTACCATCCCTGCCTAGTACTCGTTTCCTAACGATAGCATTGCTTACTCGGTTGTCCCAAGATACACGAGCAATGATCGACCAGTCCATTATTCATTCACCGATTTGGCACAATGGAGTAATATTTCCAAGAAAAAGTCATGCAAAGATCGTACGAATGTATGTATGTATTTATATTTGTGATAGCCATGTGTTTATTATTTCTATTTGTTCATAATGCTGTACCAAAATAAATTACACAAATCATATTACTAAACATGTATACATTATACACATATATATTACTGATAATAAAAGGAAGTAGTTTTCATTTTAAAAAATAATAATAATCAGTAATCATCCTCCTCCTTCCTTCTTCATTGATTATTGAGAAGAAATTATTTTTCTCTAAAAAATAATAATAGTACATTACAAGTATCACACATTGATGAATCCAGTCAAATTGAAATAAGCTTGCACATGCATTGAGAGAGAGAGAGGTGATGATGATTGCAATGATGACCAGTAGTAGTGTTATATACTGCTGATATGAATGTCAATCACAAAGAGGAAGAGGAAGGAGAAAAATACTGAATCTGAATAAGCGAAATAAACCAAAATGTGTGTGTGTGTGTGCGTTTTTATACAATATCAAACACAATGAACGATTAAAATACGAACAAGAAGAAGAATGAGGAGAGATGGGAGGAAATTGACGAGTAGGCGGAGGCGGAGCGGAAGAGAGCAATAAACAAACAAATCATCAGTGTATTGTGGTTGCGATTGCTGTTGGCGTCGATGTTGTTGTCAGTGTTAAAGAGATGCTAGGAAAAACCAATGACAAACAGAAAATTTTATTCAATGTTAAATGGACGAATTAGAATTTGTTATCGACAAAATCAATAATTAACGTGTCTTCTTTTCTAGGATATTGTCAATTAGAATTACGGAGATTAGTGTATCTTACACATTTGAAATAAATTATTGTTAGACCATCACCATTAGAAACCTGGAAGCACTGTTTTGAAGGCCATTTCGTCCTGGTATGGGACTCATCAGCAGTGCACATCCATTCCCTAGATCAATCAGAGTTAGACATTAACTAGGTTGGATGCCGGCTAAGTGGTCTAGAGGTTAGGCGTTCACGCACAAGACCGAAGGTCTTGAGTTCGAATCTTGCGAGGTGCAGGAGTCGTGGATGCGCATTGCCACTGATGAGTAGTCCCATACCAGGACGAAACGGCTCTCAAAACAGTGCTTCCAGGTTTCTAATGGTGATGTAACAATGATTGGTTGGTGATTGGTCTAACCTTCCAGACCATTGAGTCAGCAGCATCCGCTAGTGTCTAACTCTAATCAATTCATAATGTTGTGCAACTTTTGTTCATTACTATGCGATGAATAAATGTCTCAATTTATTCAATATTTTAAGATAAAGTAATGTCATGCATTATTTTATAAGTTAATGAATGATTCGTTAAAATTTATCAGCTAGATATCATAGCTATGATAAGCAATCGACTGAAAATCTTAACAATTGTTAGAGGATTTCATTACGCACTAAACTTAACAAACTGGTAATACATGTTATAGTAATAGTCAATTCAATATTCATTCTTTTTCAATAATTCTACTCAATGTATCCACACTTTGATTGTTATATTAGTGATTTTATTTATTAAAACACATTATTATTAGTAGTACAAAGTAGCATGTAAATATTTATGCGCCACATAGATCACTCCCAACCGTAGCTGCCACCTTGATGTAGTGGTCTGACCCGCCTTTCGTGATGACCCAATCCAAGCCATATTGGCTGGAACATATATTCCTTTAGGTACTACCATGCCAAGCTGGTCGATCCCGAGTACGGTGAGATTAAAAGCAGTAACTCAAGGTCTAAGTGTGAAGTCGTACTGTTGGCCGTAGAGAGAGGTGTGATAGCAGTAACATGTTTATCTCAGACTACACCAGCATCTGCAACGATATTGCCTTGTCACAAAGGAAGGGAGGTGTTAGAAAAGGTTGACCCTAAAAATGTCACATCTAATCCCACGAATTTCCGTTTCCGGTGGTAAGGTCTTTTATACAAGAGCGGAGCTAACACTTCAAAAACTTCTCATAAAAAGGACGTGAGTCATCGGCAGTTGTCCGTTGGACTATGCGGTCACGCTCCCATGTCGATGGGGCTAACGCCAATCCAATTTTTTAAACAAATACCCTTCCACGGTATGGGCAGCCAGAAATTGACACCCACCCCCATACTCGTAACACAGATCATTGAATTAATCTATGGACTAAGATACTACCCGAATCCCCAAACCAAGGGAGGTGGGAGGAGCCACTTCTCATTAGCAAATGTGAATACCTAATCAACTAAGCAAGAATTTGAAATCACGCATCGATCAATCTTCAACCGCCTTTAGAAACATGGCAGCACTGAAAGACGGCCGTTTCGTCCTGATATGGGACTACTCATCAGCAGTGCGCATCCATGACTCCTGCACTTAGCAGGATCCGAATACCGTCAGATACCGGCTCAGTGGTCCAGAGGTTAGACGTTCGCGCGCAAGACCGGAGGTTCTGAGTTCGACTCCCGTGAGTGGGGGTTGTGGATGCGCACTGCTGATGAGTAGTCCCATATCAGGACGAAACGGCCCTCAAAACAGTGCTTCCAGGTTGGTTGCTAATGGTGGTGGTCTAACATTGATCGATTCATGTGGTTTCAAAAATTGTGTAACTTAACAATCTTCACAACCCCCTAATGTAAACAAGAATTGTTAAACATTGAGAAAAAAGAGTATACACACACATGTGTGTGTGTATGTTTCAAATCGTAACTAACCTTGATTATTATTATTCATAAGCCAATTGTTTATTATTGTAAGCATGAGACAACATGACATCATGATTTGATTCAAGTGATAACAATTCATCTGAATGATTATTTAATGATTGTGAATGTTGTTGTTGGTGATTTGGTTCACCATTGATCTGGGAATGTTCAATGCTTGTACCATTTTGTTGTTGGAACTGATCCAATTTGTTTGGTACTTTTGACACAAAAAAAGAAAGATGAAAACAGAAAGAACAGAGTATTAATCATTTCATATTCAAGTGAATTAAATAAACATTAAAACAAGATTCCATTTATGAAATGGCAACACTGTCAAGTACATATTCATCTTAAAACACGCATATATATACAGGGTAGGCTAATATAACAATAAAGTCAATAAAAGAATGAATATTTATAAGTGAGTCAGTTACAATGTAGAACTTCGCACGTGTACGTACATCAGTTCATGTCGCCATACCACATCAGCACAGAGATGTGATTGTCAATTCAAATCCGATAGTAGAAGAGGTAGTCAAGGTATTAGAAGTAATCGGAGGGGTTAGGATGAGAAGATATTATTTAAGAAGTATGATTCAGGGAGATAAGTTTAGAAAGACAAAACTAGAGGTGTTGAAGAATCCAGAAGATTAGAATTTGACAGAACACAAAGAATAAATGCACCGGCGCCATTGTGAACGATTTTGAGCCATGTCATTCAGGGTCGCTAATCATCGATTATTATCATCTCGCGGACCCCAACCAGGTAGTCGACAATTACCGACATGGCTCAGTTCACTAGTCAATGGCTTCATGGATTTCTGCCACGTTTTGGTTTGGCCGCCCCTAACTTTCTTCCAACCTACTCCTACACTATAAAACAAAGCTCGTCGAGGCAGTCGGTGGTTAGGCATACGCAGCACATGTCCCAACCACCTAGACTGATGAAGAGTTTCACTACTTCATCTATTGATCTGTCATTCTTACCTAGCACCCGATTCCTAATAACAGCGAGATATGATTCGAGAAGTATAATTCAGTGAGATAACTTTAGAAACAGAAAGATAGAAGCGACGAAGAATTGAGAAGGTTAGAATTTCATAAAACACACAAAAAGTGGATGCACCTGCGCCATTGCAAACGATTTTGAGCCATATCGTCCAAGGTCTCTCTAAGCATCCGAGACTTTCGTCTCGTGATTAGAGAGACGAAAGTCATTAGTTGATAGTAATGTACATTAGGTATACGCTGATGTATGCAGATCTGGACAACACAATTATTTTTTTCGGTCATTACAGATACAACAAAGGTGTTACATTTAAATATGTTGCAAATTGCAATAGGCTCTCAAATTTATGACCTAATGATTAAAAGCCAAGTAGTGTTTTGTATTGTTGGCTGCGAAACATGGCCAGTCAGAGTAGAGGATATTCATAGGTTGATGCTTTTCGATCATAGGTGTCTCCGAAGCATTGCTTGTGTATCATGAGACAACTGAATAAGCAATGCTGTTGTTAGGAAACGGGTGCTAGGCAAGGATGGCAGGTCAATAGATGAACTATTGAAACTTCATCGGTTGAGGTGTGGTTGGGACATGTGTTGCGTATGCCTAACCACTGACTGCCTCGTCGAGTGATGTTTTGTTATGTACGAATAGGTTGGACGAAACGTAGGGGCGGCCAAACCAAAACATGTCACAAATCCATGAAGTCACTGACAAGTGGACTGAGTCATGTCGTTAGATGTCAACTACCTGATTGTGGTTCGCAAGATGATACTAATCGATGGTGCATATGTATCCATTCTTTGTCTTCTGTCAAATCCGAACCTTCAGAAATCCTTATCACTATCTTTTTCTTGTTAAGTTTATTTCACTAAATTCTACTTCTTGAATAATACTCTTTATCTCCAATCTTTTTGATTACTGCTAATACCTCTCTACAACTATGGGATTTGAATTGACAATTTCATCTCTCTGTGCTAATGTGGTATGGCAACTTGAACAGTGATGTACGTACGTAGAAAGTTCTACTTTGCTGTTGATTGATTGATTGATTGCACTGTTGAATTCGTTGAGTTATATCGCTTAATTGCGAATGATGGAATAGAGAATTTTTCGAACCAATAGATCTAAACTATCAAGTCATTTAGAAAAAAAGTCAAACAATAACATACAGTTCAACATAACGAAATAGTTAACTTAATATAATGGACAAATGAAAATTATTGGCTCTACTTCAACGACAACACATCAATTAGAACCAAAGTACGAGAAGAATCTGATTTAAGTTTCATAGAATAAGCTCACAACACTTAAACATGCGCTGATAATGTTGAGAATATGTTAGTGGGACATAGATGGAATTAAAGCATGACTACGTTGCTGCGCGCTGATTGGCTAATTTCCTATCCAATCAGCGCCTGATCGAGTCTTGGAGAACAGGATAGAAAATTCTCGTGTTGTTAGCCTGCACGCTGATTGGCTAAATCTAACCCAGTAGTCGGTCACGTGAATTACTATCCAGAAGCTTCTGATGAAAATGCTATAAAGAAACTAACGTTGTATATATTTTGCCTTCTTATTTCCATTTAATTTTGCTATTTGGAATATAATCTTTTCCTGTTCCACCGTGTTTTTGATTTCTTTGGAACTTGTCGAGTGTATTGTTGTCAGAGAATACTAAGCAATAGGAATTAGCCGGGAATTATTTAAACAAGCGTTACAACAGAATGAAAATTTAAAAAAAATCTAGTGAGTTAAATTATCTATCTATCAACCATCTCAGAGTACTAAACTTTCTCCTCTAACTCCACCACCTGTAGATCCTTCGGGGCTACTGCCGGTCCTAAGTCCGGATAAAGAAAGAGGGTTGGGATTGGGGTTGGCCACCCCATCCCTCAAAACTAACGCTAACAAGAAATAATAATTCAAACCACATATAAACTCAACTCTGGGAGTTAGAAGGTCTTCCATTTAGGATAACTATGACGTCTCATGATGAAAGCCGAGTTTCTTCGGAATTCATGAGGTCGATGCCCCTTCTGACAACCAGAACGCTTCCACAATATGGGCGGCCGTGAAATAACATCCACCTTCATACCTACAAAAGCACACGAGACCAAATTGATCACAATCAAATCGTTTCTCCTCTATCGAGTGTTTCAAAGTCACAATCACGGTAGTTTAAGCAATAAATAAAATACGCCAAACAAAAATAGAACTTACTGCCTAATTTCGATCCGTATGACAGCGGTAAAGAAGGAGTAGTATTAATAGTAGTATCAGATAGTAGTATCGTGTGATTTCTTGAATTTTCCATCTCATCACCATTACCACTAATACTAATACTACTACTATTATTATTATGATTACCATTACAATTATTATTAGTAGTAGTATAATTCCCATTAGTTAAATGTAATTGTTCCAACGAATGAGTAATTGGTGTATGATTGCGTTGTGAATGATTATCTCTATTGAAATATTGGTCTTTTTCATTGTGGACATGATTTTCTTGTACAGTAGAATCATTTGATAAATTATGATGACTTATAATTGTTAAACAACAAGGATTTTCTTCATAAGTAGTATTAGTAGTAGCTGGCTGAGAATTCATTGAACGTGTCAACCAAACATTTTCAATAATTTCCAATATATCATCTGCAGAACATTGATGAGAATGAGGATGTTGTTGCTGTAAAGAAAGCAGCAGTTTATCATCCAATCCAAGAATACGATCTCCAATGTGTATATTTGTTTGTGATGCACATGAATTCGGTTCAATACGTACAACAACTGGTCCACTAACACCTGGACCATTGATTAAACGTAAACCTAAACGAATGCTGCTATGTTTGGTGTTGGTGTTGTTATCGGTGTTGTTGTTGTTGTTTGTATGAATTGGTGCGATTGGTAAATTAATTTGTCGTACAAAAAATCCCCCGTTACTTCGTTCAGCTAATTCTAAGGCTTTTTTAATTTCATCTTCATTTAACGATGACGACGACGGGGATGACGGTGATGATGATGGTGAGCTGATCCTATTGAACATGGAATCAAGTTGATCATTATGATGTTGTTCATTGTTTGAATCGTCATCATCATCATCACCGATTGATTGATGATGATGATGATTAGGTTCATTCAAATTGTCTAAATGTTCCATTGGTATGGCATGATCATTTTCATTTTGTTGCTCTGGTAAAGTAAACATAATATCACGTAAAAATTTGGGTGTTTCAATGCATGGCATCATAATACCACCAAACAGTGATGGTAGTTGTTCTTGTGAAGGTGGTGGATATGGTGGACATAGTTCATGATATTCATCTTGTTGAATTGTATCATCAATTGGTGGAGATAATGACGGAGATGATGATGGCGAATGCTTAACAGGCAGTTTATTTGATGATAGAGTTCTAGTGTTAACTGATAATGGTGTAGCAGTAGTGTAATACGGTAAACGACCTAATTCAATGGTACAATATGGAAGATTAGCTAATAGTTGAATAATTTCATTTGGATTTAACCAATCCACTGGTTCACGATCGATACTTAGTAAACGATCACCTGGCTAAAAAAAAAATTAAAACGTAAAAGAAAAGATTAGTTAGGGAAAAAATCGTATGGGAAAACTTCATTGTTTGCGTGCGTATGTGTGTGTGTGGTGGGGTAGGGAATAGTATTTATTTACATGTCATAATGATGATTGACTTGTATGTTTATGTTATGGATGCACCTTCACACTACGTCAATTGATACGCTTCAACAATTTACGAGATCACCTTAGTCGGTAAACGAGAGTGAGGATCCGGGGAGAGGACTTACTTACTTATGCCTGTTACCCCCAATGGAGCATAGGCCGCCCACCACTTTTCTCCAACCAACTCTGTCCTGGGCTTCTCTCTCCAGTTCTGTCCAATGTTTGTTCATTCCTCTCATATCTTTCTCTATTTCTCGGTGTAATGTGTTCCTAGGCATTCCTCTTTTCCTTTTTGCCCTGAGGGTTCCATGTGAGGGCTTGTCTCGTGACGCAGTTAGGTGCGTGTGTCCTATCCACTTCCACCGCTTCTTCCTGATTTAGTCCACTTCCTCATTCTCTTGAAGCACTCTCTCATATGGTCATTTGTGTATAGCCGCATCCACAGAAGTTCTATTCACTACCTTGTCGTGGTGCGATCGTTGTTGTTGTTGTTGTATACGGAATTAAAAGGACAAAAAGCGAATGACTGGTACTATAAAATCGGGTTGGTAGGTACAGAGGATCCATCATGAGGAAATGGAAAACCCTGGTTGCAAGCCAATGAGACACATTGACTCCAATATCCTGACAGAACGAATGACGGTCTGAACTTATCGTTGGTCACCGGCTATCATACGATTGCATCTCTTAAGCATTGCTCACCTACCTACCTACCTAGTGGATTAAACTTGTAGGTTTTAAAGGCTCAGGAGGTAGGCCTCCTCGAGAAAATCACCGGCTTCAGTTCGGGCACCTACCTACACAATCCACATATATAAATTCAATCATTTGTGTGAAGCGCATCAATATTTAGGTCAGTCAGTCAGTCAACAACAACAACAACAACATAGAACTTCATATAGACGTAAATCAGTTCAAGTTGCCATACCACATAAGCAAAGAGATGCAATTGTCAGTCCAAATCTCATAGCAGTAGTCGGAAAGATTACGGTTCTACAATATTATTCCAGCAGGCGAAGATAAAGGTGATGAGGAACTCTGAAGGTTAAGATTGGAGAGAACACAAAGAATCAATGCACCGGCGCGATTGCAAACGATTTTGAACCACGTCACTCAAAGTCTATAACCATCGATTACTATCATCTCGCTGGGTCCCAATCAAGTAGGCAGTCGACACCTACTGACATGACTCAGTCCAGTTGTCAGTATCAATGTTTATGTGTTTATATATATATTAAGTAATAATAATAATTATAATAATAATAATAATAATAATAACAATTCTTACCATAATCATTCCTAAACGATCCGCTGGACTGTTATGTTGTATACTATCAACAATCAATTGAATATGTGAATCGTATAATTCTTGTGTATTAGCTTGTCGAATACGTAAACCGAAAGCAGCTGAAGCAATCTCATCATCATCATCGTTGACATCAGCATTATTGTTGTTACCATTAATTTCTTGATCATTCTTGTGTGCAACACTCTCATCGCACAATGAATTCCCAAGACTATTATTGGATTCATTCGAATGAGAACGGTTTTCCACATTCGGCTGCTGTTGATCACCATGATGATCATCCGCAGCAGCAGCAGCAGAAAGGTTCAACTGACGACGTTCAAGTACAACCACATAAACATGTAATCGATTTCGAGGATAAGCTATGAGATGAAAATACAGATAATGTAAATACATATATGTATATATATGTATATTTATACATATTGCTTGTGACACGATGCAAGGTACGGTACAACAGTGTTTTTATTTTTACACATGCTCTAAAAAAACTATGAACTAAAACCTCTTCATAGCTACACACACACATACATAAATATATATATAGAGAGAGACACACACACAAAGAGATGAATAAAACTACTAATTTCCCCATATAAAAAATTTGAGTATACACAGTTCAGAAATTATGTTAATTACATCTCTAGATGTACAACACATTGTCAATACGTTACAGTGGGTATGTTTGTGTGTGTGTGTGTGCAAGAGAGAGAGAGAGGAGGGACAGGGAGGGAGGGAGGGATTACATAATTCAACAAAAACAATTTGAGCTTGTTGAGAAAAAAAGATCAATAAATCAATAAACCACGTTTGCTACATTGAAGTAATAATAAGTAGGTAAGAACCGAAATAATAGAAAAAATATCAATTACTCTATACACAATTTATTCATTCGTCAGTTTTGACTGTGTTAAGAAGCATATACATGCGCATACATGTCATCGCAGGGTTTAGGGTTCGAGTTCTTCTTATATAGTTGGTTGGTTTGTTTTTCTAGCTTGAAAGATGTATTCATTGAATTTCATTATTAATAATAATATTAGTAAAATTATTTACAAAATGCCTAAATTCTAAATTGTATAATAGTAATAATAATAAATAATAAAATGTTGAAAAATGAGGCAGATGTGTGAATCAAATGAAAAATCGATGCTAACGACCTACAAAAAACATCGAAACACATGCATGCACGCACACAGACACACAGAGAGAGAGACAGACACATGATACGACAACGGAACAGGAGGGGGGGTTAAGTGGGGAAGAGGGCAGCAGACAAGAGAGAGAGAGAAAGAGAAACATGCATTCCAAAAAGGGAATGGTGGATAGACAGGAGAACGATAACGACAATGCATACATTTCATACAGTTAGAAAATATGCAGACAGATGCATTGGGCAGTGGTGCAATTATCATCATCGTCAGCAGCACCACAGACAACAATAATAACAACAACAGAAATATCAAGGTCAATGGGAATAATTCATTGTGACATGTGGGACACATGACACACATGAACAACATAACAGGAGAATAAAACAGACAAAAAAATATGAATGAGAAATAAAAAAGGAGAAAAAAATACAATAGAAATTATTTAAATAGATGTAAGATAATGAACTATTAAAGTTAGAGGTGGCCAAAACAAAAAAAAACATGTCAGAAACCCATGAAGTCACTGATGAGGGGATTGAGTCATGTTGGTAGATGTGTAGTGCCTCCACATATATTCCAGTTCTCTTACATTTAATTTGCTTAAGCCCTTTTGATTAATTTGTTTAACCAAGCCATTTGTAAAACAATAACTTATATGTACCATTGTTATTTTTTATTATCTGGTTTGTATGAGCTTGTACGACTGAGCATTGCTTACGCTTACGCACTTACTCATCCTTTTCGCTTTAATGTTAGTTTCTTAATTTCCCCATGAACTCACATGATTTGTATCGCTTGCTTTTGACCTTGTCAATCATTCGTCGCTTTTATTCATGTGTGTGCATACCTATTTCGCTTGTCATATGTCTGTCTTATTTTTACCTGACTATATATTCTTAGTCATACTCTATCTCTTTGAGTTGGCTCTTAGCCTTCTCCGATTCGCTTCGCTTTGTGGTGTCCCGAATAAACGTATTCATCAAAACGAGTTCATCTTCTGATTATTAAACCGACCATTAAGAACACGCAGTAATTCGACACACTACAGATGTAGGCTACTACCTGGTTGGGGTGCGCGAGACGAAAGTTACCGATGGTTAAAGACCTTGAACGACATGGCTTAAAATAGTTTTTCGATGGCACAGATGCATCCACTGTTTGTGTTATCTCAAATTCTAATCTTCTGGATTTGTCAACACGTCTACCTTCATCTTTCTAAACTTATCTCGCTAAATTATACTTCTTGAATATTATCTTCAAATCTTAATCTTCTTCATTAACGCCGCTAATACTTCTACTATCACTACCAGTATTGGATTTGAACTGACAGTTGCGTCTCTGTACTAATACAGTATGCCAAACTGAGCTTATGTACTCATGTACGAAGTTCTACGTTGTAACTGACTGACTGACTAACTAACTACTATCAATATAGCAAGGAATTTAGTTTCAGTCAGGGGCTATTTGGACACGATGGAGTTTGAAGTGTAGTAAGAGGCATTGGATTCGAGTTTGACAATGAGCATCAACTTCGGAAGACTGGCTAAACCCAACTGACTGAATAGAACAAAACGTATGTTCTGAATTTCCCTGTTAAGCACAATTGATTTCTGCATATAGTGATGAACTGCATAGCCGCTGTTTACTGGTAATGTTCCAGGTTGAAAAAAGAAGTCTAGCTACGTGAATATCAGTTCATAAAAAGTTATTAACTGTTTAGGTAACATGATGAAACGAAAATAATCATTCACAAAGACATTTTTAAACAAAGAACCAATCAGATAAATCGAACTTAAACCGTAGCATACAAATCGGAAGAAGTCAAGATATTCGGTTTCGCGTGGGGACGCTTAACTCTAGACAACTGAGATGGCATCCAACAGTGTTAATAATATCTGACTTTAATCACCAGTTGTGTTCGTTAGTTACTGCCTACACGTGAGCTAAATTAGTCACTGCTTCTCACTAGAACTGCGAGAATTTCCTCACGAAACTAGTCACTAGTGAGCACTAATCTGTAGTGGCATTCAACCCTATCGCGTATAGGCAGTAACTACCGAAGACAACAGATGAGACTGGGCAATATCAAGACATTAGCACCGTTCAATTTCAGTTCAGTGATCTAGAGGTAAATCGTCCATGCATGACACCGAAGGTTGTGGGTTCGAGTCCCACGAGTGCATGTTATGGACGCGCATTGTGGATGAGTTCAATACTAGGACGAAACTGCTGTTCAGTTTAAGGAGATTAAAATAATGCTTTCAACCATCCAACTTTACATTTGATTAACGAGTGAATGATATTCACTTAACTCATAATTTTCATTGCTACTCAGGATTATTTGACGGTTGGTTATATATCGGATATCACTTGAGTATTAATTTAGTGTAGATGAATGGTGAATTTTATCGATTTGTGAATTTATCATTTTCATTTGACAATGAAAAAATCAATCGACCTTCAGTTGATTTTCTGTTAAAACACACACAAAGTACAACACAATCCGATGTTTTATTTGAATAGTAAGTACACTTGAAATAAAAGTCGTTATTTTTTTAAAAACAATAAAAATAAAACAAACATACCATGCAATGATGGTGCAGTGGTTTTGTAACGTCCAATCAATAATTTCACATCACTGTGTGCATTCTATGTTATGAGGAGAAAAATAGAAAAAAAATCAATCAATCAATATTGGTTGGCATAATAAATAACTGAATGCATTACAGGGTTACACATTTTTGACATCATATGAATCGATCCATGTTAGACTACCAACATTAGAAACATGGAAGCACTGTTTTCAGGGATGTTTCGTCTTCTGGTATGGGACTACTCATATCAGTGGCAGTGCACATCCATGACTTTTGCGCCTCTCAGGAATCGAACCCAGGACCTACGGTCAGTGAGTCAGATGCAACGTAGAACTTCGTACGTATGTACATCAGTTCATGTCGCCATACCACATCAGCACAGAGATGTAATTGTCAATTCAAGTCCAATAAAAGTAGTAGAGGTAGTAAAGGTATTAGAAGTAATCGGAGAGGTTAGGATTAGAAGATATTATTCAAGAAGTACAATTCAGTGAGATAATGTTAGAAAGAGAATGGTAGAGGTGCTGACCAATCCAGAAGATTAGGATTTAAGAGAACACAAACAATTAATGCACCTGCGCCATTGCAAACGGTTTTGAGCCATGTCATTCAAGGTATCTAACCATCGGTTATTATCATCTCGCGGACCCAAACCAGGTAGTCGACAACTACCGATATGGCTAAGTCCACTCGTCATTGACTTCATGGATTTCTGCCATGTTTTGGTCTGGCTGCCCCTACCTTTCTTCCGACCTACTCCTACACTACAAAACAAAGCTCGTCGAGGCAGTCGGTGGTTAGGCATACGCAACACATGTCCCAACCACCTCAACCGGTGAAGTTTCAGCATTTCATCTGTTGATCTGCCATTCTTACCTAGCACCCAATTCCTAATAACAGCGTTGCTCACTCGGGTGTCCCAGGATATACGAGCAATGCTTCTTAGACATCTATGATCGAATACTAGTAACCTACGAGCATCTTCTACTCTTAACGGCCATGTTTCGCATCCATATGGGAGAACGGAGCGAACTACTGCGCAGTACACCCGTCCTTTGGTCAGCGAACGGATATCTCGCCAGGACCTACCGTCTTGCGCGCGAACGCCCAACCTATGGGAAACTGAGCCGGTATCTAATGCTGTTAATGTCTAACTTCGATCAATTCACGCACTGCTGATAAGTCCCATATCAGGACGAAACGTCCCTCAAAACAGTGCTTCCAGGTTTCTAATAGTGGCCTGACTTTGATCGATTCATGTGATTTCAAAAATAACTCAACGATAAATCAATAAATTACTACTCTTATTGAGAGGAACACATTTGAATCGTAAGAAAATTAGTTCAATAAACTGTAATTTAATTTTTTTTAAATCAAATATATAGATATATATCTGATTGTGTTGGAGACGGGATTAGCGACCTCATCCCGTAGAAAACCAGTTAGTCAGTGAGTTATGCCATTTACCCTCAGTGGAGCTTAGGGTCAGCATTCTCCTAGCTACTCTTGTTCAAAAGGCCTTCCTTTCCAGTTCTGTCCAATCGGTGTTCATTCTTCTTCTCATGTCTGTCTCAAATTATTGGCATAATGTGTTTTTTGGTCTTGCTAAAGGGAAACGCATACCAGAATCGTTGGCGGCCTATGCTCCGATTAGGGGTAACAGGTGTAAGTATGTAAGTAAGTAAATATATTCGATAGTAGGCTAGATTATAATTGTCACAAGTACTCTGTCTAATTGACCTTGCGTTTTTCAATGACCTTAAAGTTATTTGTGACCGATCGACCAACCATTGAAAAAAAATGTATTTTTAAACATTCTTCTAATTTGTTTCGATTTCCAAAGTGATCAATATTCATGACATGTTGATATAATATGTACAACAACTAGGATATTCATCCAATATCCTCAGATAATTGTTTGTAAGTCTAATTCTGTTGGTCTATTCCTACTGGTCGTCTTAACTGTCAATGTCACAGACTTCAATGTTGTTTCCTATTCAACCTCACTGTATAAATACGCATTATCTGTAACGTTTTATGACCCGGACCCGGATCCCTAGTCCGGGATTCTTAGCCTCATCTGGACTCGGACCTCGTACTTTCTGGATGTTTGTAGAACAGACGTTCTACTTCATATCAAGTCTTCTTCTTTTACTCAGTGGGTTGTTGGGACACTCGGATTAGAGTAGCATGTCGTGTGGCCGGATCCTCGATCCTCGCTCTCGTTTTCCGACTAAGGTAAACTAGTAATACTTCAAGCATAATCAAGTGACGTGTTCACATGCATGCGTAAACATAACACCTTTGCCACAAGAAAATAGTGAGTAGAACTCCTCAGGCAGTAGTTATATACATATGGCCAGATGAGAGCATTCCGAGAGAGAGAGAGAGACAGAGAGAGAAAGAAATGGAGACGATTATTTCCAACATTCCAAAGACAAAAACAAACAATAACACACACTAACTAACCTTTAATAAATTAATGACTTCATCAGATTTAGCTAAACGCATATCCCAACCATTAATTTCTAAAATGATATCACCAACTTCAAGAAGATTTGATCGAGCAGCTGGACTATTCTCTGTCTGATTACAGAAAAAAACAAAAACAGACGAAAATTGACTAGAGAAAACTGGTCCACATATCATCATTATATCGATTTACTTACTAAAAAAAAATGACTGAAATATATGAGTATTAAAGATTCCCGATTGTGAAAATTAGAACAACACAGTATATATATATAAACGATCAATAATGTTGTTTTCGATTAGATCGTCATCAGGCTGCTTTACTCTTTAATATACATGAATATTTCATATGAAAATGTTAAACCAATCAAGGCAATTTGAGTCAATAATCACAATGAAATGAAATAGAGATTACGTCACTACACATATAATAGGCAAAAGTACAAATGGATAGTAGGAAGATATTCGTGACACTCCTATTTCTTCCGTGGCCGGATATGACGTAACTAACGATTGACATTATTTTGCGGCAGAGTTTTGGAGGTTTGTGTTTTTACACATTTGAAATCATCAATCAATCATTGTTAGACCACCATTAAAAACCCACAAGCACTGGACGGCCGTCTCGTCCTGGTATGGGACTCAACAGTGGCAGTGCGCATCCACGACCTCTGCTCCTTGCAGGATTCGAACCCGGGACCTTCGGTATTGTGCGCGAACGCCTAACCATCGGACCACTGGGCCGGCATCCAACGGTGTTCATGTCTAACTCTGATTGATCTAGGGATTTTGCGCGACCTCACCCATTTGTCTTTGGTAGTTAGTTACTGCCTACACCCGACAGGGTTGAACTCTATTGGTCACGTCTTATCAACTAGAACTCCGAGAATTTCCTCACGAAGCTAGTCACTAGTGAGCACTGTTACGATATTTTTAGGCACAGTTTTGAAGGTTTTTTGTGTTTTTACGCATTTGAAATCATCAATCAATCATCGAAATTATATTTTTTATATCTTATTTTATTTTTACACATGCTTATTACGTAATGGTTTTGATGTTTATAATGATTATTTTAAGTCTGTTCATTCACGTTTGACCTACTAGTATCGACAAAAACTTTTGTTATCGTATTTTATTTCTCTTATCACTACTAATAGTACACTTATCTTCCTACTATTATCAACTTGTACTTTTGCCTCCTATTATGTGTGTAGTAGTGACGTAATCTCTACTTCATTTCATTGTGATTATTGACTCATTTAAATTGCCTTGATTGGTTTAACATTTTCACATATATATATATTCATGTTTATTAGAGTAAAGCAGCCTGATGACGATCTAATCGAAAACAACACTATTGTTCACTTATATCTATGTGTTGTTCTGAAATATATTAAATCTAAAACAAAGATCATTGTGTTGTAAAACAATCAGAAAAGATTGATGTAATCATTTTTACTATGAAAATACGAAAAGTAATAAATAATTCAAATAAAATGATGAAGAATTGAATATTGAAAAAGATTTTTTTAAAAAAAAAAAGAAATCAAGTTTTAAACTTCATTCATATTCAAGGTTAAAAATATACTTGGAACTTTGTATAAAGTTTCGATTAATAGTGATGATAGAATGTCCAAATAACTACTACTCAGTTGAAGTGGTTGGGACATGTGTTACGAATGCCCCCAACCACCGACTGCTTCGACGAGCTATCTTTTGTGGTGTAGGAGTAGGTTGGAAGAAAGTTAGGGGCGGTCAAACCAAAAGATGGCAGAAATCCATGAAATCACTAACAAGTGAACTGAGTCATGTTGATAGATGTAGGCTATCTGGTTAGGGTCCGCGGGACAAAAGTCACCAATGGTTAGAGGATTTGAACGATATGGCTCAAAATCGTTGGCAATGGAGCAGGTGCATCTACTCTTTGTGTTATCTCAAATTCTAATCTTCTGAATTCCTCCTCATCTCTATTTATCTCTTTCTAAATTTATCTCACTGAATTATACTTCTTGAATAATATCATCGAACACTAGTCTTCTCCATTACCAGTAATACTTCCACTATCTCTACAAATACGGGGGATTTGAACTGACAGTTGCGTCTCTGTGCTAGTGTGTTATGGCAACCTGAACTGATGTGCTTTCGTACGAAGTTCTACGTTGTAAATGACTGACTGAATGGCAGAACATATTAAAGGGAGGGGGCAGATGGTATGTTTAGCAGTGGAATCCAAGATGCATGTTTTGTTCAATTTAAGAACCGGTACTTGTATCTCAAAGTTAATGTTCACGGGAACATTATTTTGATAGGAATAACCAATCACAAATTTACAAGGATTGATTGAGAATATAAACTCATAATCATCTTTGATCTACAATAAGTCAATGAACGTCTGTGAGATGTAAACTAATTGAATATTTTGAAATTTTACTATGCATTGGAAACTCCGCCTGGAGCCCCTCCAAAGAGCTACTGCCGGTCCCAAGCCTGGATAAAGGAGAAAGGTTGGGCTTGGGGTTAGCAACCTTATCTCGTAGATAACTAACTCACTAAAAAAAACGCTAACTAGAAAAAATAATTCAAATCATTTTAACCACATATCGAAAAGATAATGACCGAAACCTAAATAGAGAAGGCCATTCACCAAACAAAACGTTTCTTCTATTTTTGGTGTTCAAAATAACAATTGTGTTTATAGTGGGTTTAATTCACATGTGAGTAGTCTACAGAAGAGCACAAGAAGAACACATCAGAGATATGTTGAAGATTTCAAGTATTACAGGGATGCGTAATAATCTAAATGTTAAAGAAAAGTAAGAAAATGTACGTTAGGGGCCAGTTCGTTCAACTGGACCTCAGCCACACTTCAGTTGCCCACGATCTCCAGTGAACCTGAAAGGCGAATCGACGTAAGTCTTCCGACTCTTTATGAAGTTAAGAACTGCATCCGGAGACCCTGCGGAGCCTCCCAAGGCCGGGCAAAGAAGGAAAGTTGGGCTTGGGGTTGGCGACCTCATATCCCGTAGAAAACGAACTGGTTCACAAAAAAAAATAGTTAACAATTAAAGCATCAAAAACAATATGAGAGTTGTTAAAATGTCCTCCACTTACAATTCCACCAATTGCAGTACCCGTTGAATAATGTGGTCGACCAATTAATGTTAAACCAAAACATTGTCCAGGCATATCACGTTTCAAATGAACATGATGACATTCAAACATTCCTTGATTTAAATATTGTGGTTCTGGATCTCTATACACAACTAGCTGGATACAATCATCAGCTGATCGTATAATCTAAACAATTGAAGAATATATACGTTTAAACGGGTGAAAAATGTTTACAAAGATCATGTATGAAATTGCTAGCAAGTAGCAATCATTAAAAGGAAGAGAAGGGTAACCAAGTGAAACATAGATGATATTTACCTTTGTAGCATCTTTCTGAGTAGCTTCACGTAGATCAATTCCATTGACAGCTAATAGACGATCACCAACTTGTAGTCGACCATCACGTGCAGCTGCACCGCCAGAGTGTACTTCATGCACTAAAATATTACTCTGCAAAAAAAAAATTCAATGAGTTCGGCTGTAGTATGCCTAGATAAATTATTTTATGTGAAAGATAAACAGGTTGGATTTCGTAAGTAAGGATCGATCGTGTGTACTGACCAAATTACAAAATTACGGATTATTGTGGAACAATAATCAATTGAATGGAACTCACCACACTACATCAATCTCATTGACTATGAGAAAGCATGTGATGGTGTGGACAGGACAACAAACACTATGGAGACTTCTTCGACACGACGGCGTGCCTGAAAAAAGATAATCAACATCATACGGAATTCTTATGATGCATCAAAACTGGAAAATCGTGCATGAAGGACAGCTGACACAGACTCATTTGAGGTGAAGACCGGTGTCAGGAAAGGTTGCTTACACTCACCAATTTTTTCTTTCTCCTGGTGGTCGATAAATTATGAAGACGTCAATCTCACGATGGCTTGGTCACAACTTGAAAAAGATATCAGACAATCATCGACGTAAAGGTTGTTCTTGACCGCATCCATAACATAACGCTCATAATCACTCGAGAAGCTTTGGGCTGTTTTATTCATAGCACAGTTCGCACAAGACGGGGATGAAATGGCTCCGAATGGATGAGAGGTCATCTGAAATTCAGAAGGTTCTTTAGATGTGTTCCCACTTTCCTACCACAGAAACCTTAGCTCTCCTCGGTCACCTTCGGGTACCTTCACTTGCATAAACATTTTCTCAACATCTGCCGATACCGCTACTGCTTCCCTGCGAAAACGCAATAGTATGCTTACCAGATCAGCGGTGCTGTCCGGCCCTTGATAGATCATATCGTTTAAGGAGATCCCAGCAAACTTAGCAGCACAGTCCAGGACCACTCTCAACTTATCTGGTTTTTTGGGGTTCAACACTGGATGGTGAGGTAAATACCACCGGGGACGATAGTCCGACTCCAAATGCAACTCAGGTACCCTTTGCGCATAGCCCTTAGAGACATTATCTTCCATACATTTAGCGTACCTGACACGCAACCTATCGTCTCTCATCAATCTTCGCTTCACACAACTCTGTAGCCTATTACTAGCTACCTCATAATTAGTCCTTTTCGTAGAGGGGTCCTGTTTCCACGGTATCGGAACTACAAAATGGCCGTCGACGAAGTGTGTACCTCTCTCCACGATCTCAAGAGCTACCTGGTCTTCTACAGACACTGACCTGTCACTAGAATAGACATCAGCAAACTCCACATCATACAGTTTACGTATCTGGTCCTCCAAAACTTGCACGCTACTAATATGATTAACAACTCTTTTTCTATATTCCGGGTATGATGTAGGTCCAAATACAGTCCATCCGAGTAGTGTTTTTACAGCATACGGTGCCTTCCTCCCGCCTAGCCGCTGCTATAACACCCAATGTGCCTCTGGTACGTCACAACCGATGAGCATCAAAACGTCTTCAGATTCTGAACCTTCTACCGGTACATCCTTTAAGTGCGGCCATTTAGTTAGATTTTTCATTGCTAACATTGTGGGCTTATGCCTCGGTAGGCTAGATACGATCATCGCTCCTTGAATCACGATGTGTTCCAACTGATCTAAAGAATGCACTTCGAAAGTGGCATTCGTACATGCTGCCGTTTTGTCACCACCCACAGTTTGTACCACAACTAACGCACAGTTTTCCGGCAACCCAAGCACTTTTGCACAAGTTGACGTTATCAACGTAGAATCAGAGCCGTTATCTAAAAGAGCATATCCTATTATCTCGGCTGTTTCCGATTTCACACGTACTGGGATCAATCCTAAGCATACCTGTCTGCTAAGTGACCTAGTGAGTCCGCAACAATGCTGGGATTCACGTTTATCATCAAACCTTTTGATGGTCGAGTCTTCATGCAACAAAACATGATGTTTTTTCTCACACTTGTCGATACCACAACGCATTGTCGATTTACAGTCACTGGCCTTATGCCCTTGCTTCAGACAGGTGAAACACATCCCCTTTTTTCTAACCTGATTCCATCTATCTTGAACAGTAAGCTCTAAAAACTGAGGGCATTTAGTAACCAAGTCATCACCAGTACAAATGCTACAGTTATATCTTATATTCGGTATGTTTGCTGGTTTCGATTGAAGGTGACAGTTCATTTTTACATCTCTTCCTATTTTTGGCCGATTAGCCAGCCGACCGAATCTACTACCAGCTATTCTTGCTCGAGCTAATATAAACTCAGTAAGTTCAGTAAAGGTAGGCTCTCTATCTTCTTCAATCCATTTTACGGCTAATTCCGCCCATTGAGCTTGCATAGACCGGGGCCAATTTCTAACTATTCACTCCAAAGTAACCAGAGAATTAAGTTCTGTTGTACAATTTAACTGTTCTAAGGTTAGAGCAACATTCTGCATTTTAATCGCCAAATTCGTCAACTGTTCCGGATCATTATAATCTGCATTCCCGGTTCTAAACAAGTCCTCCAAGGTTTCACGGGCTATCACATGCGACTGCCCAAAGAGCTGTTTTAAAATAGCATTAGCTCTCTTATATCCCACTTGTGGATCCATTATAAGACAACCTTCAATCGAAATTTTGCCTTTCCTTTACAGTAGTGAATTAAATATAATAAGCGCAAATTATCATCCTCCTATTAAATCCTT